CGGCCGGCGCGCTGCGGCCGGCGCACGGCGCTGATCCGATGGCAGGAGCCAGGTACTTATCCTGGTCTCCCTTGGGGTGCAGGGCCCAAGCACTTGGGCCATCCTCCACTGCCTTCCCGGGCCACAGCAGAGAGCTGGCCTGGAAGAGGGGCAGCCAGGACAGAATCCGGCGCCCCAACTGGGACTAGAACTTGGTGTGCTGGCGCTATAGGCAGAGGATTAGCCTATTGAGCTGCGGCACCAGCCAAAATAAATAAACTTTTAAAAAATGCTGAAAACTACAAAATTAAAAGAAAAGTTGAAGCCTCTACTCCCCACCCAGACCTCCTTAGCCTGGGGGCTAACTGCCTCATAGAACTGATCGCCTTGGCTCACTAGGCTAATCCTCCACCTGCGGCGCCGGCACCCCAGGTTCTAGTCCCGGTTGGAGCGCCGGATTCTGTCCCGGTTGCTCCTCTTCCAGGCCAGCTCTCTGCTGTGGCCCGGGAAGGCAGTGGAGGATGGCCCAGGTCCTTGTTCCCTGCACCTGCATGGGAGACCAGGAGAAGCACCTGGCTCCTGCCATCGGATCAGCGCGGTGCGCCGGCTGCAGCGCGCCGGCCGTGGCGGCCATTGGAGGGTGAACCAACGGCACAGGAAGACCTTTCTCTCTGTCTCTCTCTCTCTCACTGTCCACTCTGCCTGTAAAAAAAAAAAAAAAACAAAAAACAAAAAACAAAAAACTGATCGCTCCTTAACCCCAACCAAGGCATACTCCCCTGTGGTGTTTTCTCCCTTTGATTTTTAAAAATTGTTTAAATTTTTGTTTGTTTATTTGAGAACCAGAGGGACAGAGATTATAGTACTTCCATCTACTAGATCACTCCCCAAATGCCCACAACGACAGAGACTAGACCAGGCAGAAGCCAGGAGCCTAGAACTCAACCTAGGTTTTCTACATGGCAGGGAGGGGGAGGTAGAATTACAGAGCCATCACCACTGCTGCCCAGGGTCTGAATTAGGAGACTAGAGTCAGGAGCAGAACTGACCATCAAATCCAGGTACACTAATGTGGGACAGGGATGTTTCAACCGTTAAGCCAAATGGTGGCCCCCCTTTGATTTCTACAAACATGGATTCTGTATCTCTTTACATTTATCTGAATGTAACTTCATTTGAGTGTGTCCAGGTTACAGAAAGTACCCACCATTCTCTTCCCCCTAGAGACAGTTTTTACAGATAATTTTTGGTCCAAGCTAACTGCATGGGACCAGCCACCTCTCATTTTGTCCCTTGCTGTGCATCCTGGTCTGGGACACCCCTCATCCACTGGCTTGATCCAAGATGAATCAGGATGTAGCCTTTTGCTTCCTTGTCTATCAGCTGGGCGGCCCCCTACCCTGACATTCAGGGACCCCATAGGGACCTCCAAGCTCATGGAGGCCAGGACCCTGGACTGCTGACTGTTGCTGGCTGGCTCTGAAGCCCTAGATCATCTCTCCCAACATGAATGAAGACTCTGATAACTCTGTGCCTCCCACCTCAGAGTGCTTAGACCTCAACCATGGTGGATCCGGACTGTGCCTCAAGTCCAGGCCTTTAGCCACGGCTGTTTGCCTCTTGCCTCCTCAGGATTCACATGCTGCTGTCCTAGGCACGAGCTCTAGGGGCTCCGCCCCTGAGTCCAGATTCCCCATTTTTTTTTTTAAAGACCTATCTTTTATTGGAAAGACAGAGTTAAAGAGAGAGAAGCAAAGACAGAGAGAGGGAGACACACACACACACACACACACACAGAGAGAAAGAGAAAGAGAGAGAGAGAGAGAGAGAGAGAATCTTACATCTGCTGGTTCACTCCCCAAATGGCCAGAACAGTGAGGGCTGTGCCAGGCCCAAGTAAGGAGCCTGAAACTCCATCCTGGTCCTCTCTGTGGGTAGCAGGAGCCCAAGCACTTGGGCCATCTTCCACTGCTTCCCCAGGCACATTAGCAGAGAGCTGGATCAGATATGGAGCAGTGAGGGCACAAAACTGGTGCCCATAGGGGATACTGATGTTGCAGGCAGTGACTTAACCTGCTGCACCACAACACTGGCTCCCAAAAGCTCTAATGTCTGATCTGTTTGGTACTACCTCATCTGTTTCCCTCTCTCGCCAATCCTGGGTCTCCTTTCTCCAGGGCTTCAGAGAGAACAAAGGGGCGGAACTTTTGGGACCAGGCTGTGGCCTCCTCCTTTTCCATCACTTTGCCACTTCCCTATTCCCACGGCTTCATCCTTGGCAAGGCTTAGTTTAACTGCTGCCCCTGGAGGAATGTGTTCTTCAGCCCTCTATATTTGAGCAGCTTACTTTCTTCTCCTTAAACCCTACAGCCGTATGTTTCTCACCTGCTCCGAACACCTGGCATCTCACCTCTGTTTTGGGTTTCAGGTGTGTGGGGGCTCATTTGTCCAGGAACTATGTCTCATTCTTTGCTGTGTCCTAGAGTCTTATCACAGTGCCTGGTTTTATACAGGAAGTGCAGAACAGAAGTTTACTGAATAGAAATGGAACATGGAAGAAAGTGCCCCCTCCACCCCAAACACACACATCCTGTCCTAAATCCTGGAGGCTTATAGCAAGCGGAGCACCCTTCACCTGTAGGATGACACTTCTGAGCCAACCAGAGTCTTCACCTCCTCACTCCCTCTGTCTCTATCAGGATTCTGTGGTCACGGGTGGGCTTAGGGGGCTATGATGATCAAGAATCTGCCCTTGGGGCAGGTGTATGGGGTGGTGATGAGGACACTGCTTGGGACACACACATCTGATATCAGAGTGCCTGGTCCAAGTCCCAGTTCCACTTCTGATACAGCTTCCTGCTAATTCACACCCTGGACGACTGTAGATAATGGCTCAAGTACTTGAGTCCCTGCCTGGAAATGGGAGACCAGGATTGAGTTCAAGGAATTTGGGAAATGAGCTGGCAGATGGAAGATCTCTCTTTCTTTCTAACAAATAAAACATAGTTTTTGAAAATTTATTTGAAAGACAGAGTTACAGAGAGAGGTAGAGACAGACACAGAGAGAAAGGTTTTCCATCCGCTGGTTCACTCCCCAAATGGCCGTAATGGCCAGAGCTGAACCCATCCAAAACCAGGAGCCAGGAGCTTCTTCTGGGTCTCCCACATGAGTGCAGGGGCCCAAGGACTTGAGCCATCCTCTGCTGTTCTTTTTTTTTAAGATTTATTTATTTTACTTGAAAGTCACAGTTACACACAGAGAGGAGAGGCAGAGAGAGAGAGAAGTCTTCCATCCGCTGGTTCACTCCCCAGATGGCTGCAACAGCCAGGGCTGTGCCAATCTGAAGCCAGGAGCCAGGAGCCTCCTCCGGGTCTCTCACATGGGTGTAGGGGCACAAGGGCTTGGGCCATCTTCTACTGCTTTCCTAGGCCATAGCAGAGCACTGAATCAGAAGTGGAGCAGCCGGGTCTTGAACTGGCACCCATATGGGATGCTGGCACCGCAAGCTGGGGCTTTATTTATTTATTTATTGCTAGGACAACATGATAATTTAGTTTGAAACTGCATTGACACATAATGCATTTTTCTTTCTGTGTCTTCACTAACAGTAACACTAACAGTGTCTTCACTAACGGTAACAGCTATAAAAAATGTTTCACAAGTGATCAAACCAGATGCCAGCCTCGTGGGGCACAGAGGGCATTAACATTTTTTGAGAACATATTTGGAATTTCCGGAAAGCTCACTTCACTTGCTTGGATCTCCAAGGGGGCTAAGCTGGGGCTTTAAGCCACTGTACCACAGTGTTGGCCCCAAAAGATAATTTTAATAAAAAGGAAGTTGTCTCTATTTCATGAAGAACAAAAGCCCCAGACTCTGAGACTCAGGTTCCAGAAACAAAGATGAAAAGTACTTGACGTGATGGTAGGGTCCTCCCTACTATCACCCCTCTGGGCTGGAAGCCCCTGACTCAGCCCTATCCTCTGGGTCACCTCTCCTTCCCGACTCTCGGGAGGGTGGAGGTGGCCTTGCTGGCTTTAGGGAGATAAGGAGCAGCCCTCCTCCCCTCTCTCTGTGACCACGGATGGAAGCCAAGGTACAAGTCAGAGGAGGGAGCTGCAGTACAGTAGCGGGTGGGCACCCCAAGAAGGCCAGATTAGGGCACAGTGATAGAGCTGGGCGAGGTCTGAGAACGGGGGACCTCCTAGGGTCGTAATTTCCAAGTCACTGGAGGAAACTAGGAGTAAGAATGGCCCACTGCCAGCCTTCTTGTAGAAGCCATAGGTCTGTAAGGGGTGTGGGGGTTCTTTTTATGATAATGAAAATGTTCTACAATTGACTTTAGCTGTGCTGCTTGCACAACTCTCTGAATATACTAACAGCCACTGAACTGTACTCCTCCAATGAAGAGGAATAAGGAAGGGACCCATGGTGGGGGAAGAGCCCTGTATGGTCTCAGAGCCTGAGTGGGATGGGGAAGGTATCTGTGGGGCAGGGGGTGGTATTCAAGATGGGACTTTGGCTACTCCAAGAGGAATGATCAAATACATGGATATGGGGTCAGAGTAGTGTCTACAGTGGGTTGAGCCACTGCCGGTGACACCAGCATCCCATAGGAGTGCCACTTCAAGTCTCAGCTACTCCATTTCCGATCCAGCTTCCTGCTAATGTCCCTGGGAAAGCAGCAGATGGTCCAAGTGCGTGGGCCCCTGTCACCCATGTGGGAGGCCCAGATGGATTTCAAGCCTCCTGGCTTTAGCCTGGCCCAGTCTCAGTGGCCACTTTGGGAGCAGACCAGTGGATGGACAATCTCTCTTTCTCTCTCTGTAACTCTGCCTTTCAAATAAATAAATAAATCTTCAAACAAACAAACATGGATATGTTAAACATGATGTGAGCCAGATGTCACAGAAGGGCCTTGGAGAAGTTATCCCCAGCACTGACACACCGATGAGCACCCCTGCCACCTGATCTCACTTTTTTGAAAGCATTATGAGAGAAGGGGGGGGTGTGGAGAAAGAGAGACCTTCCTCCTACTGGCTAACTCCCCAAGTGGTAACAACAGCCAGAAGCCAGGAGCTTCTTCCGGGTCTCCCACGTGGTTGGCAGAGGACCATACACTTGGGCCATCTTGTGCTGCCTTCCCATGCCATTATCAGTGAGCTGGATAGAGAGTAGGGCAGTCAGGACACAAACTGGAGCCCATAGGCTGCTGGCAATGCAGGCAGCAGTTTTAGCCACTATGCCACAATGCTGGCCCCACTTACTTTTTTTAAAAAAAAAGATGTATTTATTTACTTGAAAGGCAGAATTTGAGAGAGAATGGATCTTCCATCCACTGGTTTGCCTCCCAAATGGCTGCAAAGGCCAGTTAAGGGCAAGGCTGAACGCATGAGCCAGAAACTCCATCCGGGTCTCCCATAAGGGTGTAAGGGTCCAATCACTTGGGATCTCATCTGTTACCTTCCCAGGCCTATTAGCAGGAAGGTGGATCAGAAGTGGACTTAAATCAGTACTCTAAGAGGGGATGCAGGTGACACAAGAGGCAGCCTAATCCACTGTGCCAGAGCACTAGCCCCCCATCTCACTTTTTTTTCAAGCTTTACTTATTTATTTGACAGGCAGAGAGAGAGAGAGAGAGAGAGAGAGAGAGAGAGTCTTGCTGTTTCATTGCCCAAAAGGCTGCAACAACCAGGGCTGGGCCAGGCCAAACCAGGAACCTGCAATGCCATCCAGGTCTCCCACATGAGCATTAGGGCTAATGGAACTGGCTAATGGAACTCTAATATGGGATGCCACGATCATAGGCCACAGCTTAACCCTCTGTGCGGCAATGCCAGCCCCTCATCTCACTTTGTAAATCTCATTTGTCAGTACAAGAAATGACGTCTCCTTGGAGAAACAGCTGATTCCAGGCTGGGGCAGGGAAGGCACAACATGAACCTGGAACATCTCAGTCAGACAATACTCAAAGAGCAGTGGAACCACAGCAAAAGGCACAGAAGCCGGCAGGAAGAGGTTCCCATGGCTAAAAATGGCAACAATTTGAGCATCAAAATAAGAAATGATGGTAATAATAACCATTGAATAAAACAGGAACATCTGACTCCATACAGGTTAAAGGGACATACAATGAGTGATTCTAGACAGGACCCTTTTGCTATGAAGTACATTACTGGGACAACTGTCAAGGCGTAGCTGGTATCTGAGGCTTAATGGCATTACCATATCAATATTATTGTGTTGAGTCTTGTTGGTAGTGTTGTGACTGTTAGGAGATGCCCCTGTTTGAATGAAACACACACTAAACCATGCATGGTGATGGGATAGCCTACTAGCAATTTATTCTCAAATGAAAAGAACTCCTCTGTCATATACTTGAAACTTTTCCGTACATTTGTGATTGCTTCAAAATAGAAGATCTAGCCAAAAAAATCAGAAAGGTAAAAAAAACAATGCCAGTGGTGTAAAGGATGGTATATGCACATTGTCATGTCCTGGAAGGCACAGAGCCAGGAGGGGAAGCCACTACAGTGGGATCATCAGTATTAAGGAGGCAGAGCTGTGGGTAGTTTTTCTCTTTCTTTAAAGCTATTGCATTTAGCTCAATAAACATGTGCTGAGGACCTAGTCTCTTTCTGTGGCAAGCATTGTGTTGGGTCCCAGGGACACTGAAAACAGTGACAACACTGGCCTGCATTCTACAGGAGACAGCACTGTGGGATATGTGCTGGGTGCTAATGACCAGGCACCCTGAGAATCCCAGCCCAGTGGGGTAGAGTGGCAGGAGGAGAGGTGTTTGGATTATAGTCCCCTGTTTGTCTACAGAGAGTAAGGATAATGTTTGTGAGCCCTCTCCTGAAACATGGTGGGTGCCCCATCTGTATTGGGAGCCCTGAGGAGGCCAAGGAATGTGGAGAATTCAGACTCTACACAGCATGGGCGGTTGGGGGGCCGGGCTTCCAGGCTCCATCCTGGGACAGGAGAGCTGGGCTGAAATATCATGGGTGGGATGGGCATTACACTCTGGGGGAACAACCAGGTAGTTGGTGGAGGGGAAGAGAGGGGACATGGGGGCAAGTCACCATTGTTAGTAATTGCACACAGCCCCTAGGGGACAGCAGAGGGGCTCAGGGTGCACTCGCTGCCACGGCTGCCCAGCCTCACATCCTCATCTGGGCTGTGTGCTTACAGGGCCCCTGGAGCCAATCCCAATCTGTTTCCTTCTATTCTTTGACAGGAAGCTCCAGGAGAGCTGGCCCCACCCCCACCCCGCCCCAGCACTCCCTCTCTCTCCTCCACTATGGACAGAGCCTCCACTGAGTGGCTGCCTGCCTGCCACATCCCCAGCTGACATGGGGAACGCCAGAGCCGCGCAGCTGTGCTGGGCCATCCTGGGCTTCCTACTGCTCCAAGGTAAGCAGTGTCGGCCACTTTCCTTCCGCGATTCCTCTCCTGGGGTTGGAGCCCTGGGCGACCATCCCTGCTCAGGACAAACACCACACTTGCTGCCCACCCAGGGTTCTGCCCAAGGGACAGAAATTCCAGAACCCTTCCAAGAAGGGGATCAATTGGATGGGGGTGGTCATTACCAGGCAGAGGTAAAACAGAGCTACCATTGACTTCTTCTGTGGGACCCTACTGGGGTCATATAGAGGCTGGCCTCCTGAAATGAGGGAAGCTGCCATGTTGGTGTGAGAATAAACCTAGAAAACTCCCAGCAGGGTATGTGCAGGCCCGGGAAGCCTGTGGTTGCTCCTCTGAGTCTCACCCTCTGGCCTGGGCTCAGTGACCACAGCCACTCTGTAGACAGTTTCAGCACAGAACTGTCTGCACCCTGGACTTTACAGGTGATCTTTTCTCTTCTTTCATATGAGTAGCCGCCTGGGGCTTTGAAATGCTGCCTGTGAGCTGAGATGGCAGCAAGAGGGACTCAGGTTAGACACAAAGAACTACTTGCCCAGGAGGACATGACATAATCACTCAGGGGCTGGCTGAGAGGACTTCTGAAGGCGGTCAATGCTGGGAAGCAGCACCTCTCACAGGGCTCTGCTAGCTGATGAGGTGTGAGGCGGCTCATACGGGGTTCTCTAATTAGGGAGCAATTGCTAGGAACCAGGAGAAGTCCAGGACGTTCTGACTCATGGGGCAGTGACTTCCTTTTGGTCACCCCTTCCCCACCCCCGCTTCTGCCTCTGGAAGTCCTCTGTGGACAATTTATGAGCCTGTGCTCTGTGCTCAAGCAGTAGAGAGCAAGGATGGGGCGGGGTGAGAGGGCCCTCTGCCTCCTACAGAGAGCAGGCAGTGCTCTAATCCCATTCGCTGGGGGCAACACTGATCCTCCTACCCGACAGGGTACAGTCACAGGTTTGAACTGGGGCTGGGATCTTGTGCAGTTTCTTGTGGAAACTGCAGTGGAGACTGGTGAGGTGGCATTTTTAGAGGCCTAGACTCCTCTGCCTGGCTTCTCTACCCAGCGTCTTCTCCCAGGCTTCCCAAACGCCCATGATAAACTCTACCACTACCACCTCTTGAGTTTCCTAACTTATCATCCTGAGAGCACACAGGACATTTACTTTTGGTGGACTGAGGAATTTATTTGCATTTATTTAATTAATTAATTTGAAAGGCAGAGAGAGACACAGATCTCCTGTTCACAGTTTCATTCCCCAAAGACCCTCAACAGCTGGAGTGGGCCAGGCTGAAGTCAGGAGCCTGGAACTCCATCTAGATGTCGCATGTGGTGGCAGGGACCTAACTACTTGGGCTATTACCTGCTGCCTAGTAGGATGCCCATTAGCAGGAAGTTGGAATGAGGAGTGCAGCTGGGACTCAAACTCAGAAACTGTGATATAGGATGTGGGTGTCCCAAGCAGTAGATTAACTGCCAGGCCAAACATTTGCCCCTGAGGCATTCTTTCGAACACACTGAGGCCCACATAGGTACTTGACTGTGGCTACACAGAATCACGGCAGATATGACTTGGAGGATTTGAGAGAATAGAGCAAAGCCAAAAATGTCTAGTACCATTTAAACACAGACTATCTGTGAGCCAGTGTTTGGTGCCTTGAGTGCATTTTCTCTTCTTTGCCATAACTTAGGAGGTATTAATGCCACCTGCATTTCAAAGGAGAGAAAGCTGAGGCCCAGATCAGATAGGGAGAGACCGAGCCAAGAGCCGAACTCAAGCCTGTCAGGCTCAAAAATCTAGGATTTTAACCCTAGCCCATACAGCTGCAGAAAACAGGGGTGGGGTCAGATAGACTGGAAAGGAATGAAGCAGGTGGGGATCAGGGAACAGAGATCAGGAAAACCAGCAATGCCTGTGGCCCAGGTTTTTGGGTATCCATGTACCCTGAGGTCAGAGGGCCCCTGGCCTCCAGAAACAGAGGCTCCCTGAGTTCTTTCCCTCTGCACAGAGGAACCTTTATAATGATAAGTTTAGGGAAGAGGAGGGGGCAGGAGATGAAAACAGGCAACTAGGAATTGAAGTTAGCGGCTTTGGAATTCCTCCCAAGTCACTAAATAGTTTTCTTTCTACAAATTGAAGTTGCAATCTTACAGCACTTATGTGGTAATTAAGACAGACTCAACTGGTAGCAGACATAAGGGTACTTCAAAAATTTCATGGGAAGATGGAATTAAAAGTTTATTTTGGTGCACAAATTTTAAAATCCATGAATACAAGGAGACTTCAAAAAAAGTTCATAGAAAATATGTATCATGAAGCCGGCGCCGCGGCTCACTAGACTAATCCTCCGCCTTGTGGTGCCGGCACACTGGGTTCTAGTTCCGGTCAGGGCACCAGATTCTGTCCCAGTTGCCCCTCTTCCAGGCCAGCTCTCTGCTGTGGCCAGGGAGTGCAGTGGAGGATGGCCCAAGTACTTGGGCCCTGCACCCCATGGGAGACCAGGAGAAGTACCTGGCTCCTGCCATCAGATCAGTGCGGTGCGCCAGCCACAGCGCACCGGCCGTGGCAGCCATTGGAGGGTGAACCAACGGCAAAGGAAGACCTTTCTCTCTGTCTCTCTTTCTCACTGTCCACTCTGCCTGTCAAAAAAAAAAAAAAAAGTATCATGAAAAAAGTATGTGGATTTCAAAATATTTTGCACCAAAATAATCTTTTTTTAAAAAAATATTTATTTATTTGAAATCTGGAGTTACAGAGAGCCAGAGGCAGAGAGAGAGAAGGGAAGAGATCTTCCATTCATTGGTTCACTTTCCAAATGGTCATAATGAGCGGAGCTGGGCTGATCCAAAACTAGGAGCCAGAAGCTTCTTCTGGGACTCCAACATGGGTATAGGGGCTCAAGTACTTGTACCATCTTCTACTGCTTTCCCAGGCCATAGCAGAGAGCTGGATTGGAAGTAGAACAGCCAGGACTTGAACCAGCGCCCATATGGGATGCCGGCACTACAGGAGGCAGCTTTATCTACTATGCCACAGTGCTGGCCCCAATAAGTAAATTTTTAAAAAAAGATTTATTTATTTACTTGAAAGTCGAAGTTACATAGAGAGAGAAGGAGAGGCAGAGAGAGAGAGAGAGGTCTTCCATCTGCTGGTTTACCCCCCAATTGACTGCAACGGCTGGAGCTGTGCTAATCTGAAGCCAGGAGCCAGGAGCTTCTTCCTGGTCTCCTACGTGGGTGCAGGAGCCCAAGGGCTTGGGCCATCTTCAACTGCTTTGCCAGGCCATAGCAGAGAACTGGATTGGAAGTGAAGCAGCTGGGACTCGAACCGGCACCCATATGGGATGCCAGCACTGCAGGTGGTGGCTTTACCTGTTATGCTACAGTGCCGGCTCCAATTAAATATATATATATATATATTTTTTTTTTAGACAGGCAGAGTGGACAGTGAGAGAGACACAGAGAGAAAGGTCTTCCTTTGCCATTGGTTCACCCTCCAATGGCCGCCATGGCCGGCGCCCTGTGGCCGGCACACCGCGCTGATCCGATGGCAGGAGCCAGGTACTTATCCTGGTCTCCCATGGGGTGTAGGGCCCAAGTACTTGGGCCATCCTCCACTGCCTTCCCAGGCCACAGCAGAGAGCTGGCCTGGAAGAGGGGCAACCGGGACAGAATTCGGCGCCCTGACCGGGACTAGAACCCGGTGTGCCGGCGCCGCAAGGCAAAGGATTAGTCTAGTGAGCCGTGGCGCCGGCCCAATTAAATATTTTTTAAGATTTACTTATTTATTTGAAAGTCAGAGTTATTCAGAGAGAGAAGGAGAGGCAGAGAGAGAGAGAGAGAGAGAGAGAGAGAGAGAGAGAGAGAAAGGTCTTCCATCCATTGGTTCACTCCCCAACTGGCTGGAACTGCGCCGATCCGAAGCCAGGAGCCAGGAGCTTACTCCGGGTCTTCCCACGCGGGTGCAGGGGCCCAAAGACTTGGGCCATCTTCTACTGCTGTCCCTGGCCATGGCAGAGAGCTGGATTGGAAGTGGAGCAGCTGGGATTCAAACCAGCACCCATAGGGGATGCTGGCATTGCAGGTGGTAGCTTTACCCCCTACGTCACAGTGCCGGTTCCATAAACTTATCTTTCAATTCCATTTTCCCATAAACTTGTTGAGGTATCCTCACAGATGCTTTCAGGATGTGCCTTGGATTAAAACATTCTCTGTGGCCTGGGGTTCCTGCCGTTTTTTTTTTGTTTTTTTTTGTTTTTTTTTTTTTTTTGACAGGCAGAGTGGACAGTGAGAGAGAGAGACAGAGAGAAAGGTCTTCCTTTGCTGTTGGTTCACCCTCCAATGGCCGCTGCGGCCGGCGCACCACGCTGATCCGATGGCAGGAGCCAGGAGCCAGGTGCTTTTCCTGATCTCCCATGGGGTGCAGGGCCCAAGCACTTGGGCCATCCTCCACTGCACTCCCTGGCCACAGCAGAGAGCTGGCCTGGAAGAGGGGCAACCGGGACAGAATCCGGCGCCCCAACCGGGAATGGGGGTGTCAGAGATGGCGACCTGGAAAAAACACAGCCCAAGATTTGGGCAAACTTGGACTTGGAAACAATTAACTACACACTATCCAAGTGATAGCCCAACAGAGGAAGGCAGTGGCCTAGAGAAAATAAACAGACCAGCAGGCTGGGGTGGGCCCTGGCACCTGGCCGCCTCTGTCACCAGGCCCAAACTTGGTGTGTCCCTGGTGGTGAGAGGCCAAGGGAGCTGGAGGGCCAGGTTGGGGGTTGAGGGCTGGGGGCTGCAGTGCAGGAACGGGAACCCAGCTGGGCGGCTCCACTTCCCCACGTTGTTTTCCTTTCACATTGTTCACAAGTTTCAAGAATGATTTCATTGTGGAAAATGAGCAAATACAATCTGACCTTCCAGGTCCCATATAGACACATGGGCTCACGAGCACATACACATGTGTACATAGAGGTCCATACCACTCACATGTACATCCACAGGAGTCAGTGAGGCTATTGATGGGAGATTCCTGATCACTGACTCCTCTCTGGGTTTGGCCAGTGCTGACCATTGTAGCTTCTGCCTGTGAGAATGAGTTGGTTGTTCGTCCTACAGCTTCCCTGCCCTCCTTGTTTACCTCAGAACTTGCTTCCTGTCTAGGGACCCACCCTCAGCTGTGGGACAGAGAGGCCAGAAGCAAGCCCTCATCTCTAACCCCTTTTTACTCATTTTCCTATCTCGCCATCCTCTCCCGTCAGGACAGGGCCAGGATGACAGTCTCCAGAGGGAAAGCAAACTGTCCAGTGGGAACAATGCATATGCCTTAACCTAGAGACCTGGAGTCATGCTTCTTGTCTAGACAAGGCAGGTCAATGGCCCTCTGCCTTGGGCAAGTCACTAGTTAAAAATCACTTTCCGGCCAGCACCGTGGCTCAGTAGGCTAATCCTCCACCTAGCGGCGCTGGCACACCAGGTTCTAGTCCTGGTTGGGGCACCGGATTCTGTCCTGGCTGCCCCTCTTCCAGTCCAGCTCTCTGCTGTGGCCCGGGAAGGCAGTGGAGGATGGCCCAAGTGCTTGGGCCCTGCACCCCGTGGGAGACCAGGAGAAGCACCTGGCTCCTGGCTTTGGATCAGCGCAGTGCGCTGGTCGCAGCGCGCCTGCCGCAGCGGCCATTGGAGGGTGAACCAACGGCAAAAGGAAGACCTTTCTCTCTGTCTGTCTCTCTCTCTCACTGTCCACTCTGCCTGTCAAAAAAATAAATAAATTTAAAAAAATAAAAATAAAAAAAATCACCTTCCTCTGACCTTGTGTCAGGCTGGTATGATATTCACAGAGGACTGAAGAGACAGGAAGGACGTGGGGACTCTGACCATGAGGCGGTGGTGATGGCACAGGGGAGTCAACAGTCTCAGAGCAAGCCAGCACCATAAGTTGAAGCCCACATAGCCTTCAGCCATCTGCCAAGTGCCTGCTTTCCAGCATGGGGGTCTTGGAAAGCTGAACGGCGTCTCTGGGCTCTGTGCTGGCAGCAACTTACCAAGCTAGTCATGTCTGGGTTTTGTTTTGTTCTGTTTTTGTTTTATTCATCTTATTTGAAAGGCAGAGAAACAGAGACAGATAGACAAAGTTCCATCCACTGGTTCACTACCCAAATGCCTACAACTGCTGGGGTTGGGCCATGCCAGAAGCCTGAGATTCAGAAGCCTGGAACTTAGTCTGGGTCTCCCCCATGGGTGGCAGGGACCCAAGGACTTGAGCCATCACCTGCTGCCTCTCTGGGTGCACAACAGCGGGAAGTTAGAATCAGAAGCAGAGGCAGGACTCAAACCCAGACTCTCCAACACAGAATGTGGGCATCCCAAGTAACTTCTTAACCATTGTGCCAAATATCCACCCCTAGACCCTGTGTTTTGCTTTCTCTTACAGGCCACAGCTCCCAGCCTACCAGACAGATCTCTAGACCTCAGGGTAAGACTGAACATGCAGGGCCTACTCCAGTGTTTGGGCCTAGGCGCTCAAGAAGGGTGAGAGGAGCTGTAGTCCAAGTTAGCACTGATCTCAGGTGACTGGGACTAGCAACAGAGCTCCCAGGAGCTCGTTCAAAGTTGAGCACATCTTGGAATCTTCTTTTCAGCCTTGCCCAGTCTATCATGCCTTGAAAGAGGAGAGAGATGAATGGTGGCAGGGGCTGGGGTGGGGGGTGGAGGAGAGGGGCGGAAAGGGTATACGATAGACAGAAAGACCAGAAAATGTCAGATATAGAGAAGAAAAGAGAGAAACTAAGCAAGGGGAGGCAGTAGACCTCTCAGCCTCAGATGATCTGTTTCAGAAGCGTTCAGCAGTCCAAGTCTGACCACAGAGCCAGTTTCTGCCACCACAGGTGAGTGAGTGTGCTTGCCAAGGAGCCAATCTCCTACCTCTTCCAACCACCACTGCCTGCCCCAAGCCCAGTCATTCAGACCTGCTTGGATCCCAGGGCTTTCTGGGTGGGTTAGGTATGGTGTCACCAAACCTGCCCCACCTCCAAGTCCCCATCTGCCTCTGTTCTGGCAGGAGATGTCGCCTCCTCACAGCCCAACAGCCCAAGCCCTCTGTCTACCACTGCTGCCACAGGTACTCTGTCATTGACACAATAGGTGCCACCCACAGAGGACGCCATGGGGAACTGGACACTAAAGGAGAATGTATAGTAGGGGAGTGGACAATAAACAGGGCTTCCCACTGATGATGCCAAAGCCAAAGGCACTGTGGGAGTGCACACGGCAGATGTCAGTCACTGCAGATGTAGGGATCTGGAAGAATGTTCAGTGAGCGGCCCCAAGGCAGAATCTGAGAAGGAGTCGGATGAACAGGTGGAGGCTGTGGGGTGGAGGGTGGTGGAGGCCCAGGGAGTTGCACTGGCAAAGACCCAGAAGTGAACAAGAGAATGGCCCCTTCTGGCTGTGAAGGCAGTACAGAAAAGGAGGTTTGGAGACTAAAGAGCCCTCCCAGTGACCATGCTGGCTGAGGCCCTGCCTGGGCCCATGTGTGCTTCCCGATCCACAGTGGCTTCAAGGAACATCTCCCTGGCCCCCCTGGTAGTGAGTGAAGCCATAACGCCACAGTCGAGCCTTGTGGACAGTCACTCTGCATCCGTGCTGGGCCTGACTCAGTCCCAGCCACAGAAGCACACATCAGGACTTGGTGAGTACCCAGGGCAGGCGGGCGTGGGGTGAAAGACACTGGGTTACGTCTGGGTAGGCTCCTTCTTTTTCTCTTCTGGAGGCCCAGGTGCTACCCCCAAATTAGGGTTCTTGAGGCCAGGATCCCTATCATTGGCACCCTGGTTTGGGAAAGAATGAGAGAGGTTTCGGGGGAACAGTGAAGGTACAAGGAGCCTGAGTTGGGACCAATAAAGGCATAGATAGAAGGGAAGAAAAAGGAGACCCCAACATGAGGGAAACGGAAGACATGAAATGTTAGGAAGGGGCTTGACCCTTCTCAGGGTGGCTGGCCTTCATGCACCTCCAGGGGAGCCGGGTGGGTGGTGGACACCCTCCATCTGAGCCATGCTTTCTCACGTTACAGACACAGGGGCCCACCGTGGTGGCAGTACAAGTAGAGGTATGTCCTGCCTGTGCACACAGTAAGGAGATTGGATGGGTACATCTATGACTCTTTCTCTCATCCTATGCCTTGGCTCTTGGATTTTCTATTCTCCCAATCTCATTTGGGAGGGAGGAGGTGAGGAGAAATAAGGAAAGGTACTGCAATCAGGCTTGAAATACAGGGAGTAGAATAGGGGAAGGAAAGGGTGACCACACCACATATTCAGAGGCCAGAAACCATGTCCCTTCACTGGCTGCCTGGCTTATTGGATCAATGCCAGGGGATCAGCATCACATGACCTTCACTTCTTCCACCTCACTCCTCGGCCAAACCCAGTCGGCTCTCCCTTACCTGTCTGCTTCCTGTCTCTGCAGCAGAAAACCCTTTCCTCTGGGTCCCACCAAGGGCTGGTGGGAAGACCACAGTGAGGGAAATGTCCTGAACCTTCTGGAATCCTCTGTAATCAGTACCATGATCAGCCTGCAATGCCATTCACATGACCCCCACAGCCACATGCTAACCTGTCTTCTAGTCAAAGCGGCTCACTTGGGGGAAACGGGAGGAAAGCTAACTCTCTGATAGGCTGTGCCAGTCCTATTCACTGATGCACCTGATCCCACTCCACTGTAGACACATCTCAGGAGGCTACTCCCAACTCAACCACCATGACCCTGAGGACAAGGGATGACTTGAGTATCCTGCCCAGTCCCACATCAGAGACAGTGCTCACAGTGGCTGCATTTGGTGAGAGGAGGAGGAGAAGGTGGGGCATGGGAGGGGACCCCACTGCTGGAATTTATGTGTACTCTGGCCCGGACACACAAGTTCAAATCTCACTGATTTGTTCCAGGAGGGACTGGCCAGTGAGGAAGGCCCTGGTGGGAGGGAGGCTCTTCCTCTTGGCTATGGCCAGCAGGGGAGGATGCAGCTGGCTGTGCAGCCACTCTGGGGAGGGGCAGCAGGCAGAGAGCCCATTGGTCCAGCTGTCCAGAAAGCATGATGGCATGGGCATGCTGGGCTCTTGTTGCCTTCATTTGCCCCCTCCTTAGCCTCCCCTCAGTCCAGTCCTTTCCATGCTCAGGGGTGATCAGCTTCATTGTGATCCTGGTGGTTGTGGTGATTGTCCTGGTCAGCGTGGTCAGTCTAAGGTTTAAGTGTCGGAAGAACAAGGAGTCTGAAGGTATCTTTCCCAACACCCAGCCGGGAGCTGAGGGAAGCCACGCTCACAAGCAGCCCTCTGGGTCCCTCTGGGCGGGCTGTGAAGGGGAGGCTGAGCTTCTGAATTACAACCTCACAGCATGTCCTCTGATCTGTGCCTTTGGGTTTTTACAGATCCCCAGAAACCAGGGAGTTCAGGGGTGTCTGAAAGGTAAGACTGACAGAACCCTAAGGCAGGAAACTTCTGTTGACTCCTGACTCCCCCACTCCAAGAGGGACTCCACACTTCCTGTCTCCTCCTCACACACATATACCCCACCTATATTATATACATACACACACACCACAATCCTAACAGACTCCACTGAGGCCAGGGCTAGAGATAAGCAGGACAAGGGTAGGCCTGAAAGGAAACACTTAGGCTACTGGAGAGGGAATGAAGCTCTTCAGCCCCAGGGCTAAGCCCTATAAGCCTGTAAGGAAACTGAAGGAATTCAGATTCTAACCTAAGGAGGCATTCCCTCCAGGCTTAGGAACCACTCACTGAATACCCCAACACAATGGTATACTTAGAGCAATTTTTCAAAATAGAACTTCATTTGAGACATTTGAAAAACTGAGGGACAGCGCCGCAGCTCAATAGGCTAATCCACCTAGCGGCGCCGGCACACCGGGTTCTAGTCCCGGTCGGGGCGCCTGATTTCTTTCCTGGTTGCCCCTCTTCCAGGCCAGCTCTCTGCTGTGGCTCGGGAGTGCAGTGGAGGATGGCCCAAGTGCTTGGGTCCTGCACCCCATGGGAGACCAGGATAAGCACCTGGCTCCTGCCTTCGGATCAGCGTGGTGTGCCGGCCGCAGCACACCAGCCGTGGCGGCCATTAGAGGGTGAACCAACGGCAAAAGAAAGACCTTTCTCTCTCTCTCTCTCACTATCCACTCTGCCTGTCAAAACAAAAACAACAACAACAACAACAAAACAAAAACAAAAACTTGAGGCTTGGGTGGACATAATGGCACAGCAGGTTAAGCCGCTGCTTTGGATCCCATATCGTATAACAGAGTGCCTGGGATCAAGTACTACCTCTGCTTCCCATCCAGCTTCCTGCTAATGTGCCTGGGAGACAGCGGAAGATGGTCTAAGTGCTTGGGTTTCTGCCACCCACATGGGAGACCCAGATGAAATTCCTAGCTCATAAAAATGACCTGAATGAAAGATCTCGGTGAATGAGATCCCAGCGGAAAGAATGGGCCATCAGAGAAGGAGGTACCTTTCTCTGAAGGGAGGAAGGAACTTCCACTTTTTTTATGGCCTTGTCTAAATAAGATCAGAGTTGGTGAACTCAAGAGGCTTCCATAGCCTTGGCAGCTCATGACAAGAGCCTCGGGTGATTACTGACGTCATAAATAAGAGTGTCAATTGTTAAATCAACAACGGGAGTCACTGTGTACCTGCTCCCCAGGTAAGATCTCTGTCCTTGATGTGTTGCACTACGAGAATTAACAGTAAAACTACTACTCAAACAGTACTCTATATTTTATGTGGCTGTGCGGGTGTAGTCTGTTGAAATCTTTACTTAGTATATACTAAGTTGATCTTCTGTATATAAAGATAATTAAAAATAAATCTTGATTAAGAATGGTTTGGGAGAGGGAGTGGGAGATGGGATGGTTGCAGGTGGGAGGGAGGTTATGGGGAAAAAGCCGCAACAATTCAAAAGTTGTACTTTGTAAATTTATATTTATTAAATAAAAAAATTTGGAAAAAAAAAAAAACAAATTCCTAGCTCATGGCTTTGGCCTGACCCAGACCTAGCTGTTGTGGGTATCTGGGGGAATAAACTAGTAGAAGATTCTCTCTCTCTCTCTCTCTCTCTCTCTCTTCCTCCTCCTCTTCTTTATCTCTTTCTCTGTCTCTCTGCCTTTCAAATAATAAATAAATCTTTAAAAAAATGTCATCTTTAAAAAAGTTGAGGCTTAAAAGATGTAATTTGGTAGAGACCAAGGAAGCAGTAAGTAGTAAAACCAAGATTTAAGTATCAGTGTTTGGGGCTTCAAAGCACACTTTCATCTCACCATAGTCCACCACCAGCAGATTTTTCGAAACAGAGGTCTAAGGTTCAACAAGCCCATGGTTCCTTGACTCCCCATTGCACTTCTGTCACCAACGCTCCCTGTAACCAACTACTTTCCCATCCCAGCTGCTCCACAGCCAACGGAGAGAAAGACAGCATCACGCTGATCTCCATGAAGAACATCAACACCAACAATAGCAAAGGATGCCCCTCAGCAGAGAAGGTGCGCTTTCCTGTTTCCTTCCTTCCCTCTCCAAACTCTCCTCCTCCTCCCTGTCCTCCCTCTTCTCTCCTTTGTCCTCCTCCCACCCCTACCCCTCTCAGGAAATCTGTTCAAGGGCCCAGGCTCCTTTTCTCACCTCCCTATCCTGCTGCTCCCAAGAAACTCACCCTTCCCCATGATGTATTTATTTTTGCAGGTTCTTTAAGAGTGATTTTGGGTCCCCTTGAGCCCGAGGATCATGCAGCAGCCCTGTGCCTGTGAAAAGATGGGACTGGAAGAGGCGATGGACTACACTAAAGTTATCTGATTGTGTTGAGTCTGCTCAGATCTAAAGGACACGAGCACACCTCCACACTGGGGAGATACTTTTCCAAATGGACAGCCACTCTAGAAACATGGCCGGCTCCTTCTACTTCCTCAGAGTCAAAGGAAAGTGGAGTTGAGAGAGCAAGAGCAAGGAAAAGAACTGATCCTTTCCGCTTTGCATTAAAGTTATTTTCTGGCCTGCAGTCTGGTTTCTGTTCAGGTCACACTCCTATGTTTGTTTCTTAACAAAGCATCTTTGGGGCTTGCTTTCCCAGGCCAGGCATGTGTGTAAGTTTCTGTCCCTGTGGGCAGCTCTGTGAGAACCATGGGCAGTCAAGGGGAACTTCTGTCAGGTCTGCCTCCATTCACCTGTGGTGTCACTGAGAGCTGAGGCCACGGACCAACCACTTGGAGAGAAGAGGGAAACAAGGGGCTAGAAACAGATTGACCATCACCAACAAAGAAGTTTTAAAACCGCAGAATGAGAACAGGGGGGGCCCAAAACATTTGACTATGAAACTCTAGTGGTGGGAGCCGAATGATCTGCGGGCATTTGCCCTTGGCTTACTCCAGGCTAAGCTGGCATCACTTTGGTCCTAGCCATGGGACCATAAGGACTGGGAGGGCTTGCTGCAAGGACAGGTCTGCAGCTTTATAAAGCAAAAACGCACCCACATTACCCCAGAAAGCTATTACCTTTGTGTCCTAGAAACAGGACAAAGGATTGCAGAAATACTCTAAAGTCATTTAAAGAGAAGGAGGTGGGGTGGGTGTTTGCCCTAGTGTTTAAGACACTACCTGCATACCATATTGGACTGGTTCCAGTCTTGGATCTGCTCCCTACTCTAGCTTCCTCCTAATGCACATCTTAGGAGGTAGTAGGTAATGGCTCAAGTACTTGGGTCCCTACTACCCATGTGGGAGACTCGATGAAGTTCCAGGCTCCTGGCTTCGGCCATTTGGAGAGTGAACCAGCGGATGGAAGGTCTTTCCCTGTCCTCTCTCTTTTGCTCTGCCTTTCAAATTCATTAAATTTTTAAATTCTAAAAGATGTATTTTTTTTGTTTCTTTGAAAAGTAGAGGGGAGAGAGAGAGAGAGAGAGAGAGAGAGAGAGATCGAGATCTTCTCTCTACTGGTTCACTCCTCAAATGTTTGCAGCAGCCAGGGCTGAGCCACGCTGAAGCCAGGAGCCAGGAGCTTCTTCCAGGTCTTCCAAATGGATGACAGGGGCTCAAGTACTTGGGCCATCTTCCACTGCTTTCCCAGGCCATAGCAGAGAGCTGGATCGGAAGTGGAGCAGCTGGAACACGCACGAACCAGAGCCCATATGGGATGCCAGTGTCCCAACCCACAGTGCCACAAAGCTGGCCCCTAAAAATTTTTAATAAAGAGAGGGAAAAGAAAGGAAGTACTTACTTTCTTAATAAAGGCATGCCTACCTACCATGACACTGGCTTGGAAATTAATCTTGTCTGGGGAGAATCCAGGGGAATCATCTGAGTGTATACACAGGGAGCATTTAACATTTTTTTTTTTTTTTTTTGACAGGCAGAGTAGACAGTGAGAGAGAGAGACAGAGAGAAAGGTCTTTCTTTGCCGTTGGTTCACCCTCCAATGGCTGCCGCAGCCGGTGCACCACGCTGATCCGGTGGCAGGAGCCAGGTGCTTCTCCTGGTCTCCAATGGGGTGCAGGGCCCAAGGACTTGGGCCATCCTCCACTGCACTCCCTGGCCACAGCAGAGAGCTGGCCTGGAAGAGGGGCAACCGGGACAGAATCCGGCGCCCCGACTGGGACTAGAACCCGGTGTGCTGGCGCCGCAAGGTGGAGGATTAGCCTAGCGAGCCGTGGAGCCGGCAGGGAGCATTTAACTTTATAAGCAGCTGCTAAGGAGCAGTTTAGAACTCAGTAGAACACAACTTATTCACTCTTCAGCATATATGCTACTGTTTTTTTCTGGTTTAGATTTCACAAAATGATATGAGAGAGGAAAGCCTAGAATAAAAGGTTTCATTCTCCCTGCCTTATCAAGACTATTAAAGTAGGGTTGTTATGGTGCAGCAGGTTAAGCCACTGCCTGTGACTCCAGCATCCTATAAGGCTGCTGGTTTGAGCCCTGGCTGCTCCACTTCCAATCCAGCTCTCTGCTAATGCACCTGAGGAAGCAGTAGAAAATGTCCCAAGTGATTGGGCTGCTGCACACAAATGGGAGACCCGGATGAAGTTCTAAGCTCCTGACTTCAGCATGCCCCAGCCCCTGCCATTGAGGCCATTTGGTGAGTAGACCAGTGGCTGGAAGATCTGTCTGTGTAATTGTGCCTTTCAAATAAATAAATCTTTTTTAAAGATGTTATTAAAGACCAAAAGCCATTCCCATGAAATTTATATTTATTAAATAAAAGCTTTCTAAAAAAATAACAAAAGATGTTTTCACTCCAGAGCCTATTCACCTGCCAAATATTTAAATGAAAGGCAGTTCTAAGGAAGCATAACTACACATCATTCTGTTATTTTATTTTAGATGTATGGCCATAAAAAATTTTCCTCCTATAAGATGACAGGCATAATAATGCTATTAATCTAAATTAAAAGGCAATATTTTTCTGAAAAGAAAAAAGCCATTAAAGAAAGACTGAGAAAATCTACTAGTTTATAAATTCCTCTAGGCAAGATGTGTCACCTTCTAATGTCTTTAGCTCCTGTGTGGCACACAATGCCCAGCACATCCTAGGTAATGAAAACTGGCTTGGGGGGGGCAGATGCTTGGCACAGCAGTTAAGATGCCACTCGGGATGCCCATATACCATACAGAGTGCCTGGGTTCGATTCCTGAATCTGGTTCCTAGCTCCAGCTTCCTGCTATGGGAAGCAGCAGATGAGGATGGCTCAATATTTGGGTCCCTGCTACCGAATGGATCTGGATGGAGAGTTCTCCTGGCTTCAGTCTGGCTCTCTTGTCTCTTGTGGGCATTTGAAGATGGAAGATCTCTGTCTCTGTATCACTCAAATAAATAAGTAATTTTTTAATTAAAAAAAATCTTGTTTTGGGTGGAGAAAGTTGGGTTCTACCACAGATCCTAACATCCCCTTTCTCCAAACCTCATTCCTTATTTTTTAAAAATCCCCACAGATTCAACACTTAAAAAATCAAAATACATTTGTTGATTTGAAAGGCATAGTGAGAGAGGGAGAGACCTACAGGTTTGGGTCAAGGTGAAACCAGAAGCCATGAGCTTCTTCTGGGTCTCCAATGTGGGTAGCAGGGGCCCAGCACTTATGCCATCTTCTGCTGCTTTCCCAGACACATTAGGAGGGACCTGGATTGGAAGTGGAATAGCCAGGACTCAAACAGGTGCCCATAGCAGGTGCTGGCACTGCATAGCAGCTACACCACAGTGCTGACCCCAGGTTTTTTACTTTTAAAGTGAGGTGGCTGGACTATTTGGCTTCCAGTATTTTTTCCAGTTCTTAAACTCTAGATGTAAGAAAAAATGCAAACGATTGAGAGATCCCTCCTGTGCAAGTCCTTGACATTGTCTGGACTTCCATTTCCCTGTGTAGTCCCACAGGGGAGTAGTCCCCGGGGAGAATGATCCCTACCCAGCTCTGTCTCCCTCCAGAGGTGTCCAATAGATAAAATGCAATCAAAATTTGGAGACTCATCAGAAGTCCAAGTCCTAGCGAGCAATTGTAGCAGACTATCTGCAGTACCACCATCCAGGCCTCGCTGTGGGCCCAACACACTTGTTTCCTTGCTGCTGGGAGTATGGGCTGTGGGGGGCTCAAAGCCAGGCAACAACTGCAGATGGGGTGGGGGTGAGGGTGAAGAACTGGACCCATTGTCTCCATTTCTTCCCCTGACCGATTCCACTTCTCTTATTCCTCACAGCTCTTGTTCCCAGGAGCTCTCACCAAGAAACCTTGGATCTGCAAAATTGAGTTTCAGAAACTATTTCCTGAGGTACCCAACTCATGACATTACTGCTACAGTACTTCAAAAAAATAATTCATATATATTTGATTGAAACCACACTTCCAGAGCACATAACTTACTAGTCAGTTACAGTATAAAAATCCATCATGGGGATAGAACCCTCCAGGTGACCTAACAATGTCTAGCAGTGCTGGGTTCTGCTTGAATCGGTGTTGTTCCGTGAGTGCCATGGGCACTTAGCTCAGCTGATTCATCACCCTGGACTAATCGGGTCAAGGACATGGGTTTCACTCAAGGTAACATCTCCATTACAAGGCCACACATTTTCCCGATTCTGGACAATGTCCTGCAAATGTGAGCTGTTAGTCATAAGGTATTTATATGCATGTGGGCAGGGGCGTGACTGGCATTAATATTTTTGAGACTGAAAGGTTGTTACCCTGACACTGACACAGCAATACCACATTAGCCATGTTGATTTTCCTGTTGCTAGGCGACTTATCCTCTAGGAAGGGGTTAAGGATGAACTCACTGCTGAGTTCTGCTCTACAGCAAACTACGTTACAGTGGATTCTGCTGGAGGATCCTACTATTTATGCAAACACAAGCCTCACCTCTGACAGGATATCCGAGTGCAGCCTGCAGCCTCTGCAGCTTCCCTGAGATCACATCTCTTCCTTGCTGTCTAGACAACAGGATGGTGGCTGCTTACAAGGTGGCTTCCTCCTTCTCATGCGGGTCTACATGGTCCTAAAGCAGACACACGAGGCAGGATGGGGCACTTGCTGTACAGTCTTCTTCTTTTATTTCTTCCTCCATCCTATGGAAGGACAACCAATAAACCAGCTCAGGCACACAGGACACATGGACAGAGGGATTTTTTATCCAATATCCTTCTTTCAGGGAAGAAAAGGGAAGCATCTCAAGCACACAGAGCACATAGCAAACCTCAGTATCACCAGCAAAAGTCCACTACACGTCAGCAAGTATCTTTAAAAGTTAGTGGAGAGGTAGGTGTTGTGGTGCAAGGGGTTAAGCCATGGCTTGGGGCACCTGCATCCCATATTGGAACATCTGTTCAAGACCTGCCTAGTCTGCTTCCAATCCTGCTCCCTGCTAATACACCTGGGCAACAGGGGATGATGGCCCAAACACTTGAGTTCCTGCCCCCATTGGGAGACCCAGATGGAGTTCTTGGCTCCTGGTTACAGCCTGGCCCGGACAGGGCTGTTACAGCCATTTGGGGAATGAACCAGAGGTTGGAAGATGTCTCTCTGCTGTTCTGCCTTTCAAATAAATAAATAAATAAAGTTTTTATAGTGATGAAAACGGATAGAAATCTGAGCTAGGACTTGGTAAAATGATTAATCAGAAGAAGGATGGCTGCAGGCTTCCTTGGCCTAGTTGTGGCACAATTTCCCAAAGTCAGGCTCCTTGTGGATTTGGGATGTCTATCATTCTTTCCTGTTTGAACCTCTTTGGACACCTACCTCCTCCTCTTTGAAAACTGCCTTGAAAATCCCAGTTCCTCTTCCTTATTTCCTTCCCCATTGTTCTGGCACTCTTTCTGCTGACTACTTTCCCCCTGGAAACTCCATATCATCCCCTTTTAGGCCACAGCGGAGATTAAGTTTGACAGTGGAAAATTATTCTTGCCGAGTGAGTGGTTGGGGAGCTGAAGCAAAAACTGGCACAGAAGAAGTCTCAGTGTGGAGATTTGGAGTTCTAGGCTCGTGTGATGCAGTCAGAGGGAAAACAGCTTCAGAACCTTAGCTGAAGTCTGAGCAAGCTGAAGGGCACATTTGCACGGCAATATCCGAGAAGGCTGCAGAGCTGAACCATTTTTCTACTATTCCAGGAGCAAAACACGCCAAGTCTAAAAAAGAAGGGGAGAGGAGGCTTCAGAGGGTGAAGGGAGAGGGTGCTGAGGTACTAAACATCGCCAGGAGACCCCAGCTCCCCAGATCTTGTCCAGTGCTCTTGAACCTGGACTCTGTTTCTTAGTACTTGCATAATTCATAGTGCTTCCACTCCATCCAGTTCCATCTACAGTGCTCTAGCACTTCCACTCTCAGCCCCTCTTGGACATCTTTGAGAGCCTCTAGAGCTGAGCCCTGTGCCCCTGGAATCCAAGCTGCATCCCACCCTCTGCTGTCCATCTTCTAGAGCAGCTGTCTAACCGCCCAGCACCAGAACTCCCCTCTTATGTTCATCTACACATGCCCCTGATCAGGTCCCTGGCTGCTGCGCACTGGTGGCCTCTTTAGGATCTTGCCTTCTGTGAAGCTGCCTGGGCTGGAGGAGCTGGGCATATGTTGTGTCCCAGGATTCATCTGGGGTTCTGGTGAATTCCTTGTCTCAGTTTTAGGGCACGATACAATCTACCCAGTCATCGTGGATGATCCTTCACACAGTACTTCAATTTTCCATCCTTCTCTCTCCTGCAGCTTTGATAACTGCATTCAGAGGCTAGGGTGCAGGGAAAAGCAGCTCCCCAGGATGCTGTGGTAGTGTTTGGCTTCTTGCGCAACTTGTACTGATTACCAGATAGGCTGGTATTATCCGGGACCTTATGACATACACAACACACCACCACCATCACACCCTTAACACTACAATGTCAAGCAATCCGTGACCTCTGCCGCCTATGAAGAGTCGCTTTTATTCTTTGCTGGACTCCGTGAAAACCCAGGAACGACAGGAAGAGTTCCTCATTTCCTTTTACAGCCCGGTCCTTAAGAAGAAAGGAATGGGCTGAGGAAAAGATGGACTCGAGTGTGGCCTAAGGAACTTCCCTCTTCTCTCTCTGGCTGAGGAACTGAGGGAGGAGAGCCATTTCCGGACGGTGCTCGAACCCCGTAAATCACTCTCGTATTTTTCTTGGCTTTTAAGTTCCCCAGAGACGAGTTGGGCATTCTCCAAAACTCATCTCGGACTCCCCAGGGCCTAGCACAGGCTTTGCGCAGAACAGCCACTGGCGTACATTTCAAACGGACAGCCCTGAGGGGACCAACAGCCCTGCCGTGTCCATCTCGCGGGCAGGCCCCTCAGCCGCACCTCCTTGGCTGCTCCCAGGGGTGGGCAGGGCAGACGCCACTACCCCCACTCCACACACGAGGACGAGCCAGTAACCGCGCAGCTGCCAGCCAGCGTCAAGGCAACTCCCCACGTCGCCCCTCGAAGGGCCTAGCCCCGTTACCTCACAGCGTCTCTGAATGCTCGCGCGCAGAGCCTGCCGGGAGTTGCAGTCCCATATGGGCTGGACTACACTGACCAGCGTGCCCCGCGCTCTGCGCCCCCTTCTCTTTCAGCTTCGGGCTCGGGGGAGGCTCGGCGGACCTGCTGACTAGGAACGGATATGGCGGCCACTCTGGGCAGCGGGGAGCGCTGGACACAAGGTACCGGGTGGGACACCTGGCCGGAGGGTGGGACAGGGCGGCGCTCGGGAAAGATCAGGGTTGGGACTCCTGAGGGAGCAAAAGGGCTGCGATCCGGGGCCCGAGGCGAAGGATGGAGGCTGGGAGAAGATGCTGAACCTGGGTGTCGTTCCGGATGGACTGGACGACCGCCCAGGCAGGGACCGGGATACGGAAACGGGGAAGGTTGGCTGAGGCTGCGGACCGGGCGGGAGCCCAGAGTACCCGGTGACGACTTGTTGCCTCCGGCCCCAGCCCCGCCCCGGCCCTTGCCCCGCCCAAGGCCCGCGGTAGCCCCGGCAGACCGCGCCCGGTGGCCGGAGGGCCCGCCGCAGGCTGCGGGCTCCAGAAGCAACTGACCCTTGGTCCTGGCTTGCCCCTCCAGCCAGCATCAGGACCCATAAGCCGGCCTTTGCCATCCTGCAGGTGGGCAGAAAGTATTGGCCCCGGACCTGTAATGTGTCCCGCGTTGTGCTGCTGATGCTGCAGTGGAAATGTGACAGGCGTGGACCCCTGAGCTACTGAGAGTTTGACGGGTGAACAGCCAGCTACAAAACAGGACCATGAAGTCCTGGGCTGCACACTGACACCCAGCCCAGCCTGCGTGTCCAGCAAGGCTCTGTGGCGAAAGTGTGCCATCATTCGTGATGATGCCTTGGAGTTAGCCGGGCCACCCTGGAGGAAGAGTGTCAAGTGGTAGTCACTGAGGGGTGCTCAGCGGAAGGTGTTTGTAAAACCTAGTCCAGATCCTTCAGACAAGACTTGAGTGCTCTGCCCTCTTGGACTAGATGCCCAGGCCCCTTTTGCATTCCCCAGGCACTGTCATCTGTTCACTCCTCTCCCATTAAACCGCACCCTCTTTGTGGTCTTACCATTCACCCCCTGACCTATCTAGAAGTGTCTTCGTACCTACTAGTTCTGTAATTGTTAGGGTTTTTTTTTTTTAATTTAACTCCTCTCTTCTTGATTTTTTAAGTTTTATTTCTATATTTATTTGAAAGGCAGAGTGAACAGAGAAAGAGGGAGAGACAGAGAGAATGTGAGAAGTAAAGAGAGAGAGAGATCTTCCATCTTCCCAAATGCTCACAACAACTCGGGCTGGGCCAGCAGCGGGACTTCCACCTGGGTCTCTCACAAGGGTGACAAGAACCCATGGACTTGGGCCATCAACTGCTGCTTCCCAGGCACATTAGCAGGAAGCTGGATTAAAAACAGAGATGGGTTTTGATTCCCTGGCACTCCAATATGGGATGCAGGTGTCCCAAACAGCAACTTACCTCTTGTACCACAGTGCCTGTATTTTTAAAGATTTGCTTATTTATTTAAAAGTCAGACTTAGGGAGAGGGAGAGACATCTGCTGGTTCACTCCCCAGATGGCTGCATCAGCCAGGGCTGAGCCAGGCCAAAGTCAGGAGCAAGGAGCTTCATCTGGGTCTCCCACGTGGGTGGCAGAGGCCCAAGTACTTTGAGCAGAGGGTGGCAGAGGCCATCTTCCATTGCTTTCCCAGGCCATTAGCAAGGAGCTAGATTGGAATTGGAGCAGCTGGGACATGAACCAGTGCCCATACAGGTTGCCTCAATGCCGGCCCCTGCCTTTCTACTTTAAATCTTAGGGGTGGGAGGCATTACAACAAAGAATAGTATTTTATGCCTCAGTGTCACTCCTTACAATAGGCTTCCCCCTGGGCTACACTAAAGGCAGGGTATTCAACAGATGCCTCTCGTACCCCTCTTTTGAGACTGATTCAAGAATATTGGCTCTTTCTCTATGTTTCCCTCTATCTTTTTCTGTAACTCTGCTTTTCAAATAGGTAAAATATATCTTTTTTTAAAAAAGAGTATTTGCTGACTACTGTAGAAATAGTGGATATCATTGTAATTGTAATGTACTTCATGTTTCTGGTGTTTATACATTTTTCTTGGTTACTTCCCATACTTCCTGTATTCTTTCCTCAAGGCAGATGGCTAGCATGTGTGGAAGCTTAAAAGTTAGCCTGTTCCTCACACTTACCTGCTCCTCCCTGCAAACAGCCCCCAGTAGTTAAGCCAGGTAGTGAAGTTGATATTCAGGGTCCGAGGGAAGCCTAATGGAGAGGCTACTGCTTTGCAGCGTACATTGACGCAGTTAGAAGAAACAAGTACCCCGAAGACAGAGCTCCTGAGTCTCACGATCCCTGTGGGTGCTCTAACTGCATGAAGGCGCAGAAGGAAAAGCAGTCTGAGAATGAGCGGAATCAGACCCGCCAGGGTGAGGGGACCTCCACTTACACTGAGGAGCAGCTGCTTGGCGTACAAAGGTAAGCGTGTGGTGGAATTAAAGGAGCGACTTTGTGTAAAGTGCTCAGAGAGTGGATGCACAGTGCCAATCCTGCCTGCCGCTGCTGCTGTCAGTATCATTATTGTTGAATCACAAGAGCTTCAGGACCTCACAGGGAGGCGTGTGAGCTGACTGCACTGCCTCTGCCTCAAGAATATAACACGCACCGAGAGGCATTCTGTCCGACAACAGAACGCAGTTCTCTCAAGTACGCATGTCATATTCTTGGGGTTAGCCATATCTTTGGTCATAAAACAAGCCTCAATAAATTTTAAAAGGTTGACATCATTGTTTTCTGAAATCAGTTCTCTTATTAGAGAAAGAAATTTTGGAAATTCACAAATATGTGGAAATTAGGCCACAGATTCCTAGAAAGCAAATAGGTCACAGGATACATTTCAAGGAAAGTTAGAAAATGATTTCAGAATGAAAATCCAACTTAGCAAAATGTTTAGGCTGCAGCTAAAGCACTACTTAGAAGGAAACTTACAGCTGTAAATGCTCACATAAAAAATATCAACCGAATTAAACCTCATATCAATAACCTAATCTTCTATCTCGAGAAATTAGAAACAGAAGAGCAAACTAAACTCTATCAGGAGGATAAAGGAAATACTATAGAGTAGAAATAAATGACATAAAGGATAGAAAACAATAAAGTCAACAAAACCATAAGTTGATTTTTGAAAATATCAACAAAATCGACAAACTGTTAGCTAGACAAGGGGACACAAAGAGAAGACTCAAATAACTAAAGTCAGGAATGACAGAGGGGACATCATTACTGATCTTACAAAAATAATATAGATTATAAGAGAATACCAGGAACAGTCCTGTGACAACCAACTAGACAACCTAGATGAAATGGACATGTACCTTGAAAGATATAAACTCCTGACACTAGCAGCTGGCACTGTAGTACAGTGAGTTAAGCTACCACAGTTTAAAGATAACCACAAGGAAAGAGAGAGAGAACATGAAGTGGTCAGCTGTTTCTTCTGGCTTTGCTGTCCTGTGATTCTTCTCTCAGGATCTTAGCCTGAACCTTGAAGTAAGAATTAGCACACTTGTTCTAGTCACTCGCAGGGATACAGGAAGAATAAACTAGATGTAAAAGTACTTTCCCATCCAGGCATTAAGCTCTGGATGGGAAAAGGATAATGAACTTGAATGCTTCATTGACTTTTTCGCTAACTTGCAGGTTTGTTTTGGGTCTCCCGTTAGAGAGAGATTTGATGTATTCTTTTGCAGTAATTATACAATAGGAGCCTTTGTAGACATACATGTTTCTGAATTTTTTTTAGGATCAAAAAATGCAGAAATTACTACGAAATTCTGGGAGTTCCTCGAAATGCCAGTGATGAAGAGCTTAAGAAAGCTTACCGAAAACTTGCACTGAAATTTCACCCTGACAAGAACTGTGCTCCCGGGGCAACAGATGCCTTCAAAGGTCTGACCCTAAACTGATGCACTGGTGCTTCATGCTGCCCCTGTGGTGACTGCTGACAGCAAACTGCTTTTAGCCTTCCCTGTATCTGTTTTTTTTTTTTTTTTTAATGGTGAAAAAACATACATTCAGAATTAGCCAGCTGAACTCAGTTTAGAGGATCCCAATTTTGTTGGCAACATCCAAAGCATCATAATCAGGACAAACTTACGCTTTCTTCTGTCCGTCAGGCCTGATCGGGGCATTGACCTTGGCCACTTCTGAGTCACTGAGTTTCTTCACTGCCTGTTTGAGCTGGAGCTTGTTGGCCTTGACGGTCACCATGAACACAGTGTGTTATTGTTTTCTGTCTTCTTCATGGCAGACTCGTTGGTCAGTGGAAACCTTATGATGGCATGGTGGTCAAGCTTGTTTCCCCTGGAGGCACTCTTCTGAGGATACTTGGGCTGCCTCCAGAGCAGCAGCGTCTTGGGCCCATGGGTGCTGTTCAGATCCTCTTTTTCATATGTAGCCATGGACACCTCTCAGCGCTGCCTTCTTGACCTTCAAAGCCCTTGCTTTGCCTCTGGCTTTTAGAGGGGCAGGATCTTCCTTCTTTACCTTCATTGCCATTTTGTGTCTGTTTCCTAAGGCCATAAAGGGGTTCTCCTTTATGTGTTCTCCTCCCTGCCAGTCTCTTAGTGATTATCTGTCTAGCTGCCTTCTGCTTTCATCCACTTCCTTAATGTCTCTTGGGAGTTTCTTTGTAATACCTTTAGTACCATTCATTCCTGATTCAGCAGATATTTACTGAAGACCTTCTATGGACCAGTCACTAGAGTGAATAAACATGTGCAGTTCCAGTTAGACAACTTGCGAGGGCCCAGCATTGTGGTGCAGCAGGTCAAACTGCCACCCGAATCACCGCCATCCCATATGAGCTTTCCCATGCAAGTACTGTTTTGGTCCTGGCTGCTGCACTTCCAGTCTAGCTCCCTGCTAGTGCACCAGGGAAGACAGCAGAAGATGGCCCAAGTGCTTGGGCCCCTGCCATCTGTGTGGGAGACCTGGGTGGAATTCTAGGTTCTTAGCATTGGCTTGGCCCAGCGCTGACCATTGTAGCCATTTGGGGAGTGAACCAGCAGATGGAAAATCTTTCTGTGTCTCTCCCTCTCAAACTGTAACACTGCCTTTCAAATATATAAAATAAGTCTTTGGGGAGAAAAAAAAAAAAAAACTTAGGGGCTGGGAACTGTCGCTCCCCGTCTTCGTGGAGGAACGACACAGGACCCTGCGCTGTTCTTTTGTCTGCTCGGCCCTCCCCGGGTTTGCTGCTGGTCCTTCCCGGGTTGGCTACCGACCCTTCCACCTCCGTGGAAGGGCGGTTCCCCCTAGCCACTTTCCCCACTTCCGCGGGGGAGCGGCACACCGCCGGCCAGCTCTCTTGGGGGCTGCACAGGTGTTCCTTCAGATAGATGTTCCTGGTGCATGTTGTCTCTCTCCTCCTTTATAGTCCTCTTCCGCCAATCCCAACTCGTGCCCACACGCCGAGTACGCTGCTCTCCTCCAATCAGGAGCAGGATCAGCTCCTGGAGGTCATCACTCAAGTTGGCAAGAGGCAGCTGCGTAGAAGCTGTTTCCTCCTCTCCCAGCGCCATATTGTGGGAAAGCAGATGCATAGAATAAGTCTTAATTCCAGTAACTTAGTCTAGTCCAAGTTGCTCCCCACAGGAACTGCTTGCAGGTAGGTCCCAGGCAGCATTCCCAGTGTCTATGGTCATGGACTTCTTTGTTCTTGAAACCCTTATCTTAACATGTTCATATAGGGCCCAGGCTGTGGTACAGTGGGTTGAGCCATGGCCTATGGTACCAGCATCCTATAGGGGAACGAGTTCAAGTCCTAGCCACTCCACTTCCAATCCAGCTCCCTGCTAATGTGTCTGGGAAAGCAGTGGACAATGGTTCAAGTACTTGAGCCCTTGTATCCACATGAGTGACCTGGAAGAAGTTCCTAGCTCCTAGCTTCAGCCTGGCCCAGCCCTGGTCATTATGGCCATTTGGCGAGTGGACCAGTGGATGGAAGGTCTCTTTCTCTTTCTCTTTCTGTTCTTCTCTCTCTCTCTCTCTGTAACTCTGCTTTCAGATAAATAAATAAATCTTAAGAAAAAAGTTCATATGAAAAAGGTGTTACAAAATATGTTAATACAGTTACTGATCAAATCTTTTTTCCATTGATAGCCATGATACTTTCACAAAATATACTCTTGAAAAATATTTTGGACCAAATACATGATTAGAAATCTTAAGAGCTTCACTCACAGGAAAGACATTGATTCAGTCAAGGATCATCAATTGATGCTGGAACCATGGAGTGACAAGTTGTTACATGATTTCAAAGTATTGTCCCACTGAATACTTATTTATGAAGGAGAAGATGTCTCTGTAATAGAGAACTGATTGTCACCACTTTAAACAAGTGATCCAATCTAACACTAAATGGTATACCACCTATATAGTATTCTGAACAAAATGTTTGGTGTGGATCTAATAATGAGGAAACAATCAGAATGTATGACATTCTACAAGAGTACTAACCTAGTCTTCAAAGAATTTCATGTAATCAAAAACAAAAAAGGTAAAACTGCTCTAGATTAAAAGACAATCAAGAGACATAAAACCAGGGCTGGTGCTGTGGTATAGCGGGTAAAGCTGCCGCCTGCAGTGCCAGCATCCCATATGGGTACCAGTTCGAGTCCTGGCTGCTCCACTTCCAATCCAGCTCTCTGCTATGGCCTGGGAAAGCAGTAGAAGATGGCCCAAGTTCTTGGGTCCCTGTACCCATGTGGAAGACCCAGAAGAAGCTCCTGGCTCCTGGCTTTGGATAGGCACAACTCTGGCCCTTGTGGCTATCTGGGGAGTCAACCAGAGGATAGAAGACCTTTCTCTCTCTCTCTCTGCCTCTGCCTCTCTGTAACTCTTTTGAATAAATCTTTAAAAAAAAAAAGACATAAAACCAAATGCAATATTTGGATTTTTCATGGATATATTACATGATAATGATTCTTTTTTGTTAAAGATTTATTTGAGGCCGGCGCCGTGGCTCAATAGGCTAATCCTCCACCTTGCGGCGCCGGCACACCGGGTTCTAGTCCCGGTCGGGGCGCCGGATTCTGTCCCGGTTGCCCCTCTTCCAGGCCAGCTCTCTGCTATGGCCAGGGAGTGCAGTGGAGGATGGCCCAGGTGCTTGGGCCCTGCACCCCATGGGAGACCAGGAGAAGCACCTGGATCCTGGCTCCTGCCATCGGATCAGCGCGGTGCGCCGGCTGCAGCGGCGGCCATTGGAGGGTGAACCAACGGCAAGGGAAGACCTTTCTCTCTCTGTCTCTCTCACTGTCCACTCTGCCTGTCAAAAAAAAAAAAAAAAAAAAAAAAAGATTTATTTGAAAGGCAGGGTTACAGAGAGAGAGAGGAAGACATTCCATCTGCTGATTCGTCCCCCAAATGGCCACAATGGCTGAGAAGCCAGGAACCCAGAGCTTCTAGATTTCCCATGTGGGTACAGGGACCCAAGCACTTGGACCATCCTCTGATTCTTTTCCAGGCACATTAGCAGGGAACTGGATCAGAAGCAGAGCAGTCGGGAATTGAAATGGCACCCATATGGGATGCCAGTGTCACAGGTGGCAGCTTAACCCATTATGCCATAACACCGGCCCTGATAATGATTCCTGATAGTTATGATAATGGTATGACAATTGTGATCATGAAGGAGAATGTCTTTGGAAATGTATACTGAAGTATTTACGGGTAAAGGTCATAATATCTGCAAGCCCACTTTCAAATATTCAGTAAAGGAAAATTTTACATATAAATGTACATATGTATATATATATATATATATATAGAGAGAGAGAGAGAGAGAGAGGTGGGGGTAACAATATGGCAAATAGTTTATATGTTTTACTACTAATAGTTTATATGTTTTACTACTTTTATCAATTTTTCTGTGGGTTTCATATTTTTCAAAAAGAAAACAAGGGGCCAGTGTTGTGGCATAGTGGGTTAAGCTACAACCTGAAACTCCAGAATCCCATATGGGTGCTGCTTCAAGTCCCAGCAGCTCCACTTCCAATCCAGCTAATGTGCCTGGGAAAAGTAGCAGAATGTGGCTCAAGTGCTTGAACCCCTGCCTCCCACATGGGAGACCAGGAAGAAGTTCTGGTCTCCTGGCTTTGGCCTGGCCCAACCCTGGCTGTTGTGGCTATCTGGGGAGTGAACCAGCAGACTGAAGATATCCCTCTCCCTCTCCCTCTCCCTCTCCCTCTCCCTCTCCCTCTCCCTCTCCCTCTCCCTCTCCCTCTCCCTCTCCCTCCCTGTAACTCTTTCAAATAAATACATATTAAAAAAAAATGGGGGCCAGTGCTGTGGTATAATAGGTTAAGCATCCACCTGCAGTGCAAGCATCCCATATGGGCACCGGTTTGAGACTCAGCTGCTCCACTGCTGATCCAACTCCCTGCTGATGGCCTGGGAAAGTGGTGGAAGATGGCCCAAGTGCTTGGGCCCCTGCACCCACGTGGGAGACCCAGAAGAAGCTCCTGGCTCCTGGCTCTGGATCATTCTGGCTCTGGCTGTTGTGGCCATTTGGGGAGTGAACCAGCTCATGGAAGACCTCTCTCGCTGCCTCTCCCTCTCTGTAACTCTGCCTCTCAAATAAATAAGTATTTTTTTAAAAAGTAAAAAAAATTGATAGATCTAGAAAATTTTATTTATTTTTAATTAATTTACTTACTTACTTATTTATTTACAGAGAGGCAGAAGCAGAGAGAGATATCTTACATCTGCTGGTTCACTCCCCAAATGGCTGCAACAGCCGGAGCTGGCTGATCTGGAGCGAGGAGCACGAGAACTTGTGCTCTTCCAGTGCTTTCCCAGGCCATTAGCAGAGAGTTGGATTGAAAGTGGAACAGCCAGGTCTCGAACTGGCACCCATATGGGATGCTGGCCCTGCAGGTGGCAGCTTTACCTGCTGTGCTACAGTGCTGGCCCTGGAAATTTATTTTTTTTTTAAAGATTACAAGTGGCAGCTTAACCTAATGTGCCACAATGCTAGCCCTGAGAACATATTTTTGATGAAAGAAGAGTGTGGGCTCTTTGGAAGAAATTTACTTAACATGTCTGGGATTTGCAGTGATTGGCAACCTGACCTGCAGAAGGGGATGTCCTAACTTCCAGGTCCCTGAGATGGTTCAAGGACTGTTGCTTGGGAGTTAACTCTCACTCTAGTAGTTGTTCTTAAGTTACCTGATTACAGAGTTGTTGTTTCTGGCTTAGCAAACTAAATCATAGAAAAGTGCAAAGCGGGCCAGTGCCATGGCTCACTTGGTTAATCCTCCACCTGTGGTGCTAGCATCTCATATGGTCACCAGGTTCTAGTCCCGGTTGCTCCTCTTCCAGTCCAGCTCTCTGCTGTGGCCCAGGAGGGCAATGGAGGATGGCCCAGGTGCTTGGGCCCCTGCACCCGCATGGGAGACCAGGAGAAAGCAGCTGGCTCCTGGCTTCGGATCAGCGCGGTGCTGGCCATAGCGGCCATTTGGGGAGTGAACCAACAGAAGGAAGACCTTTCTCTCTGGCTGTCTCTCTCTCACTATGACTCTACCTGTGAAAGAGAAAGAAAGAGAGAAAGAGAGAGAGAAAGAGAGAGGGAAAGAGAGAAAAAGGGAAAGAGAGAAAAAGAGGGAAAGAGAGAAAAAGAGGGAAATAGAGAAAAAGGGAGAGAGGGAAGGAAGGAAGGAAGGAAGGAAGGAAGGAAGGAAGGAAGGAAGGAAGGAAGGAAGGAAGGAAGGAAGGAAGGAAGAAAGGAAGGAAAGAAAGAGAGAAAGAAAGAGAGAGAGAGAAAGAGGGAGAGAAAGAAAGAGAGAAAGAGAGCAAAGCAAGCACTTTGGGGGTTGTCTAGGCTGAGCACCTCTCCTTGGGCTCCTGTGAAGTTGTCCAGTACCAACTAAGTCATCGCTGGGCTTCTCATCACTGCTGGTGTTATTACCCTCTGCACAGCACGGACTGCATGTTCATGTGTTTCTTCTTGCTGTTGCAGCCATAGGAAATGCCTTTGCAGTCCTGAGCAATCCTGACAAGAGACTTCGCTATGATGAATACGGAGATGAGCAGGTGACCTTCACAGCCCCTCGAGCCAGATCTTATAATTATTACAGGGACTTTGAAGCTGATATCACTCCGGAAGAGCTGTTCAACATCTTCTTTGGAGGACATTTCCCTACAGGTTAGTATCCCCAAATACTTGCTTTATTTTTTTTTTTTTTTAATTCTTTATTTGAAAGGCAGTTATAGAGGAAGAGAGAATTATCTTCCATTTGCTGGTTCAGTACCCAAACGGCCATGACGGCTGAGGGTCAAGCTGAAGCCAGGAGCCAGGAGCTCCATCTGAGTCTCATGCATGGGTGCAGGGGCCCAAGGACTTTGACCCTCTTCCACTACCTTCCTTTGTACATTAGCAAGGAGCTGGACTGAAAACGGAGCAGCCGAGACTTGAACCGGCCTTCATGTGAAATGCTGGTATCATAGGCAGCATACTGATCCTTCTTCTGATTTTTGGCCCGGGGGATGTAAATTAGAGAGAGAGACAGAGAGAGAAGGTCTTCCTTCCATTGGTTCACCCCCCAAATGGCTGCTACGGCTGGCGTGCTTTGCCATTCCGAAGCCAGGAGCCAAGTGCTTCCTCCTGGTCTCCCATGCGGGTGCAGGGCCCAAGCACTTGGGCCATCCTCCACTGCCTTCCCCGGCCACAGCAGAGAGCTGGACTTGAAGAGAGGCAACTGGGATAAATCCGGCACCCTGACCGGGACTAGAACCCGGGGTGCCAGCGCCACAGACGGAGGCTTAGCCTAGTGAGCCGTGGCACTGGCCATAGGCAACATCTTAACTTGCTGTACCACAATGCTGGCCCCAAAATATTGATTCTTAAAAATATTTATTAGGGGACTAACACTGGAGTGTAGCAAGTTAAGTAAGTTGCCACCTGCAATGCCAGCATTCCATATGGGTGCCAGTTTGAGTCCCGGCTGTTCCACTTCCAATCCAGCTCCCTTCTAGTGTACCTAGGAAAGCAGTGGACAATGGTCCAAGTCCTTGAGCCCCTGCACCCATGTGGGAGACCCAGATGGAGCTCTTGGCTCCTGGCTTCAGTCTGGCTATCACAGCCATTTATGGAGTGAACTAGTGGATGGAAGATCTCTCTTTCCAGTTCTCCCTCTTTCTCTGTAATTCTGCCTTTCAAGTAAATTTAAAAAAACAAAATCTTTAAAAAAAATTACTTATTGGGGTGGGTGTTGTGGTATAGCAGGTTAAGTCACTGCTTGGAATGCCCTTAGCTCATATTGAAATTCTGGCTACTCTGCCTTTCAAATAAATAAATAAATAGGGGGATGGTGCTATGGCATAGTGGGTTAGTCCTCCACCTGCAGTACCAGCATTCCATGGGGGCTCCAGTTGTAGCCCTGGCTGCTCCTCTTCTGATCCAGCTCTCTGCTGTGGCCTGGGAAGGCAGTGGAGGATGGCCCAAGTGCTTGAGACCCTGCACCTGTGTGGGAGACCTGGAAGAGTCTCCTGACTCCTGGCTTCGGATAGGCCCAGCTCAGGTCGATGTCGCCATTTGGGGAGTGAACTAGCAGATGGAAGACCTTTCTCTCTGTTTCTCCTTCTTACTGTCTGTAACTCTACCTCCCAAATAAATAAACAAATAAAATCTTCAAAAAAATAAATCTTTATTTGAAAACAAATTGTTTATGGCTCAGCAAGCTCCTGTTTGAAGATCTGAATAGAGGGACAATAGTAGGATGGAAACTGCAAGAATTTGGAATCAGGGGTCAGTGTTGTGGCATGGTGAGATAAGCTGCCACCTGCAATGCCAGAATCCCATACCAGAATACCAGTTCAAGTCCTGGCTGCTCTGCTTCCAATACAGTTCCTTGCTAACGCACCTGGGAAAGCAGTGGACGATGGCCCAAGTACTTGGGCCCCTGCCACCCATATGGGAGACCAGAAATATATTTAGCTCTGCTGACTTATTATTTATTATTTTATTTTATTTGAGAGAGAGAGAGGGAGAGAGATCTTCCATCCACTGATTTACTCCCCAAATGCCTACAACAGCCTGGGCTAGGCTAGGCTGAAGCCAGGAGCCCAGAGCTTCATCCATTTCACATGGGTGGTAGTTACACAAGTAATTGAGCACTCCCAGGATGCTTTAGCAGGAAGCAGAATCGGAAGCAGAGGCGGGACTTGATCCCAGGCACTCTGATGTGGGATGCAGGCATCCAAGCAGAAGCTTAACCTGACTTCATTTAAATGATTCTTTGCAACCAGTGGGTGGGAGAACTCTGAAACACTAGAAGAGAGAGTGGGCCATGAATCTGATCTGGCATGCTAATGTGTGCCTCTGTGCCCAATACCAGATTATGTCACTGGTATCTTCAATAGCAACTCACAAAATACAGTTTACTTCCTGGGCATTAAACTATCCCAGCTTCCAACTCTCTGGTGGGTACTCTCTTTTATCTTTATTTATTTATTTTTTATTTATTCACTTTAAAGTTAGAGTTACACACAGAGAGAAGAAGAAGCAGAGAGAGAGAGAGAGAGAGAGAGAGAGAGAGAGAGAGGTCTTCCATCCGCTGGTTCACTCCCCAATTGGCAGCAGCGGCTGCAGCTATGCTGATCTGAAGCCAGGAGCCAGGAGCCTCTTCTGAGTCTCCCACGCGGGTACAGGGGTCCGAGGACCTGGGCCATCTTCTACTGTTTTCCCAGGCCATAGCAGAGAGCTGGATTGGAAGTGAAGTAGCTGGGTCTCGAACCAGCACCCATATGGGAGGCCAACACTGCAGGCAGCAGCTTTACCCACTACACCACAGCGCTGGCCCCTCTTTTATCTTTATAAAAGCTATTTTGCAACAATGATAATAATAGGCATTTTGGGGCCAGTGCCATGGCTCACTTGGTTAATCCTCCGCCTGCAACACCAGCATCCCATATGGGCACCAAGTTCTAGTCCCAGTTGCTCCTCTTCTAGTCCAGCTCTCTGCTGTGGCCCGGGAGGGCAGTGGAGGATGGCCCAAGTGCTTGGGCCCCTGCACCCGCATGGGAGACCAGGAAGAAGCACCTGGCTCTTGGCTTCGCATCAGCATAGCTCTGGCCATAGCAGCCATTTGGGGGGTGAACCAACAGAAGGAAGACCTTTCTCTCTGTCTCTCTCTCACTGTCTATAACTCTGTCAAATAAAAAATAAAATAAATAGCCATTTTAATATTTATTTATAAAGCATTTAAAAATCAAATTCTCACAGCAAACCTGTGAAGTACATATTATCAGCCCCATTTTTCCGACTTGTCTCAAACTCATTCAACTGATTCCAAATTCTTTTTTTCCTTAAAATTTATTTATTTATTTTTTTGAAAGGCAGGGATGAGAGAAATAAAGATCTTCTATCTGCTGTTTCAGTCCCCCAAATAACCACATCACCCAGGTCTGGCCCAGGCTGAGGCTAGAAGCCAGAACTCCATCTGGGTCTCTCATGTGGGTGAAAAGTGCTGTCTGTCTTATTTTTCTACTTGGTAAATTCGGGCAATACTGAATTCTTAAAGAACCTAGTTGGGGTAAGAACCTTGAAAAAGGCAAGGAAAGGGGCCAGCACTGTGGCATAGCAGGTAAAGCCATTGCCTGCAGTGTCAGCAGCCCATATGGGTGCCCGTTCGAGTCCCAGCTGCTCCACTTCTGATCTAACTCTGTGCTATGGCCTGGGAAAGCAGTGGGAGAAGACCCAAGTGCTTGGGCCCCCACACCTGCATGGAAGATCGGATGAAGCTCCTGGTTCCTGGCCTCGAATCGGCCCAGCTCCAACCATTCCTGCCACCTGGGGAGTGAACCAGCAGATGGAAGGCCCTTCTCTCTTTGCCTCTGCCTCTCTGTAACTCTGCCTCTCAAACAAATAAATAGATCGTTTTTCAAGAAAAGAAAAAGGCAAGGAAAGAGTGTTTAACATTTCTTAAGCAATTGGTTTTCTTTCTTTTTCAGGAAATATTCATATGTTTTCAAATGTGACAGATGACACTCACTATTATCGCAGGCGGCACCGACGTGAAAGGACACAGACACAGAAGGAAGAAGAAGAAGAAAAACCTCAGGTGCTGAGGGAGGAGAGGACAGCAGCCTCTCCCACAGTTATACAGAGCCTGCCCTTTCGATGCACAGTCAAGTTTCAGAAGTTAAAATAAGAAATGTTGCTAAAATGTGCTTGAGGAAAGCAGAGGCAATGGTAACAAGAGCTGGATAATCGGCCCCAGTGGGCCACAGTGGGACCCACCCCTACCCATTCTTTGGAGGCTTCCTTGGATATCAGTTCCCCTGAGGAGCTGTCTTGATCAAGGTTTTCTTGAGCAGAATATAGGAACCCTCTTCATAATATCCAGAACTAAAGAGGGCTTAAAGTAAGGAATCAAGGGGAAGAAGCCTGGTTGGACTCCTGACAGGCTCCCACAGCTCTGCCCAGGCCCAGGTCTGTCCACGGTGCCTGAGGGTGTGTGTCCCTTCTTCCAGTGGCAGCCTTGTGGGGAAGGTAGATGACTCTCAGCCTGAAATTCCTATGAGGGAGAGTGTGACTATGTCTCCTGGAGTCAGATGTCTCCCAAACCCAGTCAGCTGCAGCCAAGGCCACAGAGTTGTCTGATAACCAGCATGGCTCTAGAGCCTGCACCCATTCTCCTAGGGCTGTCTGCTTCATTGGTCTTCTCAAAGGAGGCCGCAGAAGGATTACTGGGTGCTGATTGTCAGGGGGGTTGTGGGGGGCTGCCTTCAGCCTCCCCTCAGGTTAAATAAGGGTTGTTAGTGTTTCTCGGCAGAAAGTACAGCCTTCCCAGAAAACCGACACCAAATATTGTTTTCTCTTTCAGACTACATATTCTGCTTTTATTCAGTTACTTCCTGTCCTTGTGATTGTGATCATATCTGTTGTTACTCAGCTGCTGGCTGCGAACCCCCCATACAGTCTATTCTATAAGTCGTAAGTCAGATACTTATAAATCTTTCTTAATAACAATCTGGAGGGTAAATTGCTTGAAGGTTTTGTTGATGTGATACATTCCTATCATTTTGCTTCACCTTTCACTGTAGAAAACACTGATTTTATGTTTAAAGGAACAGGTGAGTGAGTGGGGAGTGTGGTTAGCCTCTTGTGTCTAGTGGGTGGATTGTTTTGTTCTACAGTGCCATCGTTTGGTCAGCTGCAGAATAGCAGTAACTGGTTTCTGAAGGAGCAGTAGAGTACTTGAAGCTCAGACTAAATCCTTAACACCATGGTAGAGTTGGAAGGAAAAGAGCCTGTTGAACTTGTGATAGGATTACAGGCTTCTATGGGTCTGGGAGCAAAGTAACTGGGATCCAGTATTATTTCCAATTTTAAAAATTGCTTTTGTTAGACCGTAGTTTCACATTTCTTTACTTTTGCTAAAAATAAACTTCTTTATAATGCTTGTTATTGCATGCAAATTATAAAGTCTGATAGGAATTTTATAAAAATTTATTCAATTAATTGTTTCAGTTAATCCAGTTCTCAAATTTTGGTCCCCAGGCCAGCATCATCCCATCAGTGGCAGCAGGTTATAAATGCAGACTCCAGACCCACTCCATAGCCCGAATCAGAAGCTCTGGGGGTAGTTCTGGGTCCACACTGAGGGTAGAGAATCACTGGATTCCTCTTTACTGATAATGAGTATGAGGTGTTACTCATTATTATAGTTTAGTGGACAGAAATCTTTAAAAAGTGGAGTTTCTGGGGGCAATTCTGTCTATGGACAGAGGCTATTGCTCTCTTCCTTTTCCTAGAGCAAAGCTGAGGTTCAGAGAGAGATTATTATCTTCAATTTTCATTTTATTTGAAAAGCAGAGAGACAGATCATCCATCTGCTAGTTCACTCCCAGTGCTGGGTTGGTCTCCCATGTGGGTGGCAGGGATAACCAAGTATCTTAGTCACCATCTGTTGCCTCCCAGAATATGCATTAGCAGGAAGATGGATAGGAAGCGGAGTACTCAAGACTCATGACTAGAACCAGGCCCTCGGATATGGGATGCAGGCTTTGAACCCACTGCACCTCAATACCCGCCCCTCAGAGAGGTTATGGCCACAGGATGCTCTGGCCTGATTCCCACTGTTTCCCAGATTCCCATGGTACTCCAACTTCATTTCTTGTTAGGCCAGTGGGGCTAGTCAGGATCTTCTCTGCTAACTCCTTCCCAGAGTGAGATGGGAGCAGTCACAGCCTGAGCTCTAAGATATTTGGCAAGATCCCTAAGTAGATAAATTATAAAGAAGATTGGGAAAAGGCCAAATATAACTCCTTTAAGATGGAATTTTTCCAGTCTGAATAAAATCAGCCTAGATTTGGCACCCTGTCATCACATTGCTTTTTTGTTTTTGTTTGTTTTTTTGTTTGTTTGTTTTAAGATTTATTTATTTATTTATTTTGGAAGGCAGAGTTAGAGAGGCAGAAGTGGGGGGGGTGTCTTCCGTTTGCTGATGGAATGGCCGCAAAAGGCATAGCTGGGCCAATCTGAAGCCAGGAGCCTGGAGCTTCTTCCAGGTTTCCCATGTAGGTGCAGGGGCCCAAGGTCTTGGGTCATCTTCCACTGCTTTCCCAAGCCACAGCAGAGAGCTAGATCAGAAGTGGTGCAGCTGGGTCTCAAACCGGTGTGCCCATATTGGAGGCCGGCACTGCAGGCAGCAGCTTTACCTGCTACGCCACAGCGCTGGCCCCTCATCACATTGTTTTAACTTGAATTTGAGCTCCCTTCTCTACTTTCTTATTATTAGAATTTAGTCAACTTATACTTCTGAATGTTTCTAAGTACCAGGTACCATTGGATGTATTAGATCTACAGAGAATTAGCCCTGAAGTATCACTGAAATCTTTTGTCTGAGTCTTTGCAGCTCACTTAGTAGCAAAGTATGAAGCACTGTAAAATTTTTTAAAAGTTCATTTATTTTTGTTTATTTGACAGAGCAACAAAAAGAAAGAGAGATCTTTGTCCACTGGTTCATTCCCCAAACGCCCCATAAAAGCCAGGGCTGGGCCACGCCAAAACCAGCAGCTAGGAATTCATTGCAGGTCTTCTACATAGGTAGCAGGGATCCAAGCACTTCAGCAATCATCTGCTGCCTCCCAGGGTGTGCATTAGCAGGAAGCTGGATTGGAAGTGCAGGCAGAACTCAATCCCAGACACTCCAATATGGGATGCAGGTCTCCCAAGGGGAACTTAACCTACTACACCACAATGCCTGCCCCTGAAGTGCCTTTTTTTTTTTTTTTTTTGACAGGCAGAGTGGGCAGTGAGAAAGAGAGACAGAGAGAAAGGTCTTCCTTTGCCATTGGTTCACCCTCCAATGGCTGCCGCAGCTGGCGCGCTGCGGCTGGCGCACTGCGCTGATCCGATGGCAGGAGCCAGGTACTTATCCTGGTCTCCCATGGGGTGCAGGGCCCAAGCACCTGGGCCATCCTCCACTGCCTTCCCGGGCCACAGCAGAGAGCTGGCCTGGAAGAGGGGCAACCGGGACAGAATCCGGAGCCCCGACCGGGACTAGAACCCGGTGTGCTGGCGCCGCAAGGCGGAGGATTAGCCTAGTGAGCCGCAGCGCCGGCCTCTGAAGTGCTTTCGAAAACATTATTGGGATAGGGGCTGGCGCTGGGGCATAGCAGGTAAAGCCGCTGCCTGTAGTGCTGGCATTGCATATGGGCACCAATTCAAGTCCTGGCTGCTCCACTTCCGATCCAGCTCTCTGCTGTGGCCTGGGAAAGCAGTAGATGATGGCCCAAGCACTTGGGCCACTGCACACACATGGGAGACCCAGAAGCTCCTGTCTGCTGGCTTTGGATTGGCACAGCTCCAGCCATTGCAGCCAATTAGGGAGTGAACTGGGGGATGGAAGACACCTCTCTCTCTCTCTCTCTCTCTCTCTCTCTGCCTCTCCTCCTCTCTCTTTGTAACTCTTTCAAATAAGAAAATAAATCTTCAAAAAAAAATGATTGGTGCTGTGGCATTCCCTGCTGATGTGCCTGGGAAAGCAGAGGAGGATGACCCAAATGCTTGGGCCCCTGCACCCATGTGGGAGACCCAGATGAGGCTCCTGATGCCTGCCTCTGAATTGGCCCAGTCCTGGCTATTGCCACCATTTAAGGAATGAACCCAAAGGTGGAATCTTTCTCTCTCTAACTCTGCCTTTCAAATAAATAAATAAATTTTTAAAAATAAAGTAAAATAAAAAATTATTATTATTTTTTAGTTTGAGAGGCAGAGAGCTCCCATCTACTGGTTCACTGCCCAAATACCTGCAATGGATAGGAGAGGGGCACAAAGTTGTGAGCCAGGAACTCAGTATTTTCCTAAATCCCATGAGGATGGCAGGAACCTAAACACTTGAGCCATCATTGTTGCCTTCCCAGGAAGCTGGAATCCGGACCTGGAGCCAGGGAATCAAACCTAGGCACTCCAATATGAGATACAGGTTCTAAGCAGCATCTTAACTGCTAGGCCAAACACCTACCCCTGAAGTACTTTTTATATATCCTAAAAATTGATTCTAGATTGGTATAAGATATTTGGTTTTGCAAATAGTTTACTGTAACATTAATCAGTACATTCAACCAACATTTACAAATAGTCTACTTTGTCAGATACCATGTGAAGTCCTATATAACATACCAATTATTATTTTTTAATCTTTTTAAAAATATTGTATGTACTTACTTAAGAGGTAGAGTTACAGATAGAGAGAGGGAAAGACAGAGAGAAAGGTCTTCTATCCGCTGGTTCACTCCCCAAACATCCGCAACAGCTGGAGCTGGGCCAATCCGAAGCCAGGAGCCAGGAGTTTCTTCCCAGTCTCCCACACCAGTGCAGGGGCCCAAGGACTTGGGCCATCTTCTAATGATTTCCCTGGCCATGGCAGAGAGCTGGATTGGAAGAGGAGCAAATGGGACTAGAAACAGTGCCCATATGGGATGCTGGTGCCGCAGGTGGGAGCTTAGTCCACTGTGCCACTACGCCACAATGCTGGCCCCAATAATTATTTTTTTGAATATTCAGAATTCCACTTTTAGCATAAAAATCAGTATAAGGAGTAGGTTTTGTTGTACAGTAAGTTTAGCAACTGCTTGGGATTCCCACACTGTATGTCATAGTGCCTGGTTTAAGTCCTGGTTATTCCACTTTTTTTTTTTAAGATTCATTTTATTCATATATTTAAAAGGCAGAGTTACAGACAGAGATAAAAAGAGACAGAGTGAGATCTTCCATCCACTGGTTCACTCCCCAAATAGCCACCAACGACTGGGGCTGGGCCAGAAGTTCAGGAGCCAGGAACTTCTCAGGGTCTCCCATTTGGGTTTAGGGGCCCAAGAACTTAGGCCATCTTCTGCTGCTTTTCCAGGAGTGTTAGCAGAGAGCTGGATTGGAAGTGGAGCAGCTGGGACTCCAACCGACATCCATACGGGATGCTGCTGCTGCAGGCGTGACTTAACCTGCTCTGCCGAAGTGCCAGGACCTACTCCACTTCTTATCCAGCTTTCTGCCAATGCATCCTAGGAGGCAGCAGGCTCAAGTCCCCGGGTTCCTGCTACCCATGTGCGAGACCTGTAATGGAGTTCCAGGCTCCTGGCTCGGCCCTGGATATTGCAGGCATTTGGAGAGTGAGCCAGAGGATGGATCTTTCTTTTCCTCTCTTTCTCACTCTGTTGCTCTGCCTTTCAAATGAATAAACTTAAAAAAAAAAAAAAATGCATGAGAGGTTAGTCCTCTAAAAGCATAAACTATATATGGTGAAGCTAATTCACAGTATGAACATGCTTATATAATATTGATAATGATGATATTATACTTACTACTTTGTTAGGTAGATAACAAATGTTTAGGTGTACTAGAAAATGACATGCACATCTGTCTTATGCAGAGGCGATTGCGATAATGATTTCTGCGAGGCCGTACTAAAGGTGACACTGCCAAACATCACAAGCTCCCCTGAGTCTCCTGCTCCCTGTTTCAGGAACCTGGGCCACACTATTTCTAGAGAGACCCAGAACCTGCATGTGCCTTACTTTGTGGATAAAAACTTCGACAAGGCCTACAGAGGAGCTTCTCTGCGCGACCTGGAGAAGGCGATAGAGAAAGATTACATTGATTACATCCAGACGAGCTGCTGGAAGGAGAAACAACAAAGTAAGATGCTGTCAAGAGGGCTTTTGCTGGAGGCCATGATTCCTGGCCGAGGCAGCGGCAGCCTCCTGATCCCTCCCTCTCCAGGTTTCAGTTTATGTGAACAGAGAGGGGGCAGAGGCCCAGTCAGGATAAACAAGGTGGGGATTTTATTGATAGGATACAGGTGACGGGGTGTGGAAGCCCTGGGAACTTTGGCCGGGCTCGGCAGCTGTCTTCCTTTGGTGTCGGCCTCTGCTCACCTGCCCCTCTGTGCTTCCTCAGACTCAGGTTTCACCATGGCATCCTGGGGCTGCTGCCCCCCTTGTTGCTCTCCTCGACTCCCCAGCCCCACCACTTAGGGTCCCCTTTCAACACCCAGGTTTCCCCTGGGACTTCTCAGAGCTATCCGGTTTGGTCCCGTTTCCAAGTTCCACATTCCCTAGAGGGAAATCTCATTGCGCCAGCCTAGGGTTTTCTAGTCAAACCAAATGTTTAGAAATCACTGGCATTGAATCGGGTGCCCCCCGCCCTCACCTCCAGCTGACTGTGAACACACACAACAAAGTGACCTCCAGGGCTCCTTCAGCAGGGGTGAGCAGGCCTTCCACTCTGTTCCCTCTATGGAGACAGTGGGGTGACAGTGTTTGCCACTTGGCTTACAGCTCCAGTTGTCTCTAGGGAGTGCTGGCAGCAGGGAAGGCCCTGGCTCTCAGCCAGCAGCTTCACTTTGTATCTCCCTTGAATTACATACATACACACACACACACACACACACACACACACACTGTTAGTAACTGCATCTTGTCAGACATGGATTTGTTTAACTTTTAAAAAATAAACTCCAGCTCATCTTTTAAAGCTTCTTACTGGGTATCACTTAACATCTCCCAGTGTCTGATAAAATTAGCTCTGTGGTCACAGTGCTGCTAAGCCTTCACTGACCATTCGAATACTCCTGACCCCACCCTCAGGCTAATCCCTCCTGTCCCTGTGCCCCTGCACTCTTAAAGCACTTTGTTCGTTTTGCTTATATAGTCCTGATCCCACAGTACCCGTGGCAGGTGCATGCCAGTCTCCCCTGTGGGGCTGAGGCCTCCTTGAGGACAAGACCATGTCTTACTGTGTTCCAGGCCCCTGGCACAGTCCTTGTTTCAGAACAGGTGCTCAACAAATGTATTTAGACATTTCCAGGCCTGGAAAACAATGAAATGCTGAGGCCTTTGAATAACAGAGCAGAGCTAGTGCTCTAACCTTAACCCGTGGGGACCTTGTTCCTGCCTCCAATTCCTGTAGGGCAGAGCCCGGTGGCATCCCATGGTGCATTAGGGGTTGGTAGGCTGACGCTGGGATACAAGGGGGAACTAAACAGGAGGAGGGAATTTTCTCCTTTAAGTAAAAAAAAAAGGGGGGGGGGTCAGGATGGACCCTCCCCCATTGTTAACTAAGTTTGACAAGGTTCAAGAGTCAGGAGAGAATTCTGGAGCAAGATCAAAGACTTAAGCCAAAAAGACAGCATATATATGGATCCAAACTGGGTGGGCACTATTGGGTTTGTCCTAAGAGTCTCTAAATGCCCTGGGCCCTGGGAGGGTTTTGAATTTGTTGCTTCTGCAAGAACTGATGCAAATCTGCATGTCACATTCTTCAGACACATACACGTGCCCCCAGCCCACATCCTTGTCTGGCAGTAAAGCTGGAACTGTAGAGCCTGCAATAAGGACTGCACCAAAGGTGGCATCTAAGCTTCAGGCCTGGCTTCCCAGCTGGCCCTGCAGGTACTAATGAAAATCCAGTGAGTCAGCATGATTTGCAAACCCACAAGTTCCAAAGAGGGGTTATCTGCACACACCCCTTAAAAAGTCTATTTCTGGCATCTTAGTCCAGTGGCGGTGTGGAGCCTCCACAGCCCAGATGCCATCTGAGAACAAGCAGCCTCTGCTCTCCAACTCCAGCAGCAAGTGCCGCCAACAAGGTTAAATTTAGCACTTGAAAGTTGTAAAAATAAACCGCTTGAGAACAAAGTTCACTCTTGGCAAAATACCAGATGGAAACTTTTTATCAAAGTTAGACATTGTCTTTTTAAAATCTTTTATTTCTTTACTCTTAGAATGCTTAATCTGAGTGAATTTTTATGAGTAACCCTTTGCTGTGAACACTAATTGCCCTGTTTACCTCTTCTTAGCTGCATCTAGGTAATAACCCTGATGCCAGGAAAGCAGCCAGGCCCCTAGGCTGGGCCGGACAAAAGTTAACAGGCAGCAACTACTTCCTGGCCTGAGCGGGCTGCGCTGCCCTGAGATCCTGGCCCTTACCGGTTGATGCGCACTTCTTTGTATGCCCTCGAGCAGTGTAACTGAGTGGGTAGAAGCTTAGGCTTTGGGATGGGGCTGGAATTGACTTCCTCCTGGAGTGGTTGTGTGGATTATAGGAGACAGGATGTGTGGAACTCACAGTGTCTGGCATGGTCTACACCTGATTGCTGAGGGAGGCCAGGCTTAGTGTGGCTCTGCCCTGGACCGCATGCAGCACCTTGTCACGGAGCTGGATCAGGAGGGGAGTTGGGGTCTGTTGGGGTCTCCCCGCTGTTGGGATTCTGATCTGGGCTTTTGTACAGAGCGTTCTGCGGAGAGGCGCTGGGACTTGTTTCCCTTGGCAATCGTAGTTTACCTTGAAGCCTCCATATTCTGCCCGCTCGTTATGCTGGCATTCAGGGCAAGGGGAACATTCTGCCAAGAAGAAAAGGTGTCCTCTTGATCCTGCCCCTCCCCAAAATTTTGTTAGTTACCTAGCGGTTACTGAATATTAACAGGATGTGTCAAAGGTAGCATATTCTTGGAGCTGACCCTGTGCTCACTGAAGGGCAGTTTGGAGAGAAGCTTCTTTCTAAGCATGGGTGTGGGGCTTTGGGACTCAGTGCCTGAAAAACTGACGTTGTGCAAGGTCCTTGTGTGGAGCGGGGTCTCTGGCCTGGTTTCAGCAAGCTTTATGAAAAGCAACGTGCCGTTCTGGGAGAAGCATTCACACGTGGGCAATTGGTTATCTTCCATCAGCTTGGTGCAGTGGTCTGCATGGAGACAGCAGGGAGAGTCACCAGTCCTTAATGTTTTTTGGAAGATGCTTCCAGGGAGTGAGGCATTTAGAAAAGGTCAGTGATCAGAAAAACCTATGGAAATGATTTCAAGAGAGGCAAAGCCACAGAACCTGTCCCAGCTACTGGTGTCGCTGTGACCCCAGAGGGCCAGGCATGGAGGGCTCTTGTGGAAGCCTCTTGTAGCACTCTCTTATCATGCCAGTGAAGCCGGAGAAGTGGAGTCACTGCCCAGCCCTGGGCAGGACGTGGGAGCAGAGAGCTTTCATTTGGGTGCGCCACAGAGCCCATCACCTGCAAGAGTGACTGTGCCAAGGCAAGCTCTGACCGGCAGGCACGGCAGGCCCTCTCGCCAGGGGGTGCAGCACATTGTCCTGGAGCCAGGGAGACCTGCTGCTCACTAAGCAACTGCTGGGCTAATGCCCAGGCTTCGCAGCCCACCGTAAAGGGAGGGTTGCCACACACATCCGCCCCTCACCCTGGAGTCCTGTTCTTGATCTGCACTCTGCGCCCTATTTGTAAATAGAAGCATTGTGAGCATTGTGAGCTGAAATGCCAGAGGGTACTTTGTGTTGATAGAAATGGATAGCCATTGTTCCCCTGGGCTAACTATTAATTCCTGCTTCCAGGCAGTTTGCTGATTAATCAGACACCTGCCTCTTTTTCCACCATGAAAAACAAAATCTTTCAGCAAGGTGATCAAGAATGGATAGGCATATTTCAAAAATAGCATTTTCACAAAGCTGGTCCCATACACAGAGTAGCTGCCTGCTGGCTGGGGCTCTGAGAATCCTCCCACGCCATCCAAGCAGTCGCCCTGTTAATTCACAGCACGCCTCTGAAGGTGCTTTTCAGGCACTTCTCCCAGAGCACAGCTCGAAAACCTTACAAAAGGATGGAAACTAGAGGCAGCCAAACCACCATCGAGTCAGGAAATGCAGCCGAGATGATATGAGTATTCTGGTAAAAATAGAACGACCTTCTCCACCATGAAGAGAAAATGAAATTCATTTAGTCAAGGAGACAAAGGTCACCAGATCTGGATGATTTCACTTTTCAAAGAGCCCAGCTGCCTCTGGGCTTTGAGTTGGGGACCCCACAGGTGCCGAGGGAAGGAAGAAAGCCGCCAGCATCCTGGCCTTGTGTGGAAGCACAGCCACCAAGCTAGGCCATGTGTCACGTAGCATGTGTGAGCCGTGCGCCAGCAATGCAGGGGACAGACAAAGCAGCTGTCTTTGTTTCAGGTGACAGGAAGAGGCAACTGGCCTCCATTGCTCCCCCCACTGCTGTCTGGATGCCGTCGGTAAGAAGGCTGTGAAACCGTCTCCTCTTACTGCACACATGCAGCTTTCCCAAGCTTGCCACCAAATGCTTGGTTGATAAGAACTATGTCCAGCACGCTGATAGCAGAGCGCAGACGCTGGGACAGCAGGATCACAGGCGGCCTTTCATCCTCAGCCCTGGCAAAGTGCCCAGTACATGTTTCTTGACTAAATGAGTAAACGTTTCTTATATTAATTGAAAGAAAAAGCACTAAAGAAAGTAAAAGGAGCTTTGATTCCAGAAGTATGGGGATGCAACAAAGGAGCTCAAGTCTCTTAGTAAGTGGGTTCCCTCTTCTGTGTTTCAGAGTCGGAGCTGACGAACTTGGCGGGATTATACAGAGATGAACGACTGAAACAGAAAGCAGAGTCGCTGAAACTTGAAAACTGTGAAAAACTTTCCAAACTTATCGGCCTACGCAGAGGAGGCTGAGAAGATGATGCGCTTACGCAGGGCTGGGGTTTTGTTACTTGTTACCATTTATGTTCCTAATCCCATTTTATAATACAAAATTAGGAAATGGTGAACAGTTTACTATTAGCTAACTTTGTTGGGCAGAGTTGCAGGAGCTTCAGCCTAGAGCCAGATGTGTCACCACAGAACCCTTCCTGGCATTGGCTCCGGGCCCAAGGAATGGTTTGGCCAGGTTAAACCAATGGCCAAGCATTCGATTCAGTCCCCCTGCTCTGTGAGTGCAGCTCAGGGCTTCCCAGAGCAGAGCCATATGGTCTTTGTTTAAAATAAGTTTACTGAGGTCTCAGAACCCAGGCTTTCCTAGGCTTGGCCCAAGCCACTTACTAGGAGTCACTGACAACGTCTACCAAGCATTATTCCTTTCCCTTCATCAAAGTCATTCTGTCCCCCAGTCCAGCCTTCCCAACTGCTTCCTCCTCAAGTCGGTTTTCTAAGGGGAACATGGAGAAACTTCTACAGCCAGTAGTTTCTCCTGTCCCAACATCTGCTCACTTAGTACCATTAACAAACTGCGGGTTTGAGGTTCTTTTAGATCCTCACCCTCTCTCTGGCAGAAGCTCTAGAAATGAAAAACTATTGAGCTGTGAAACAGTGCAATGGACAGTGCCGCAACAGGAGGCGGGGCTGTGGGTGAGGGTGAAAGGTGAGACCGCCTCTCAGTTCCTCAGTGCAGGTTGCCCAGGCCATGGTAGAATGTTCTGTTTTGTCATTCCCTTTGATCTCATCATGTGGTGTCGTCACCCTTGAGCTGCACCTCTACACCCCCCCAGAGGTAACAGTGTTGTTACCAGCCAGCCAGGCTGCTTGCTGAAGCCTAGCGAGAGGCAGACACACAGAGGCATCTGCGGCTGTGGGGTCCACCATGACCCAGCAATCATCTTGTGCTCTTTAGTTCATAACTGGAGTTGCTGTTTGTTCATTTAGTATTTACAGCTCTGTGAGGTTGATGCGTTATCTCCGTGTTCATGAACGAGAACATGGGCCCAGAAAGGAAGAATGGCTGACCTGTGTAGTGGCAGAACTGGATTGTAGTCTGGTTACTAGATGGAGACTGTGTAAGATCGTCCTCCTTTCCCAGGTGATTCTAGCGGACTGGCCAAGCAGCATCTCCCAGGGATGCCTCTGTCCCCTGGCCTGCTCCGCACCCTTGCTGTGGCAGCCCTCTGTCCCTCAGGAAAATGTCCCTGCTGGCCTTTAGGAAGCAGCACTCTGTACACAAGAGCAGCGCTTCCTCGGGGACAGGCAGCTCTTCCCACTGCTGAGCCGTGTGACTCCGGCCTCCCTGCAGGTCTGGGCTGCCCACAGCGTGCTGCATCTCTGAACACGGAAGGATCAGGAATGGCCATGGTTGACACTCCATGTTGTCGTCAGGTTGGGAGACAAGTTCCTGCTGGAGGAAGAGTCTACATGAAAATTGACTCCCAAAGGAGAGTTCCTCCTTTTGGATGCATAGCTGTGGTTTAGACCACAGCGTCTAGCTTCATTCAACACGTGGGTATTGCACAGGGGCCGCCTGGCTTCACAGGGCCTCCCTGACACTCTCTCTAGGTGACAGGGAATTTGCACTTTAAAATGTGTCCATGGGTCACACAGGCTCATGGAAGGTTGTTTCCTACACAACAGAAGTCAAAACTGTCCTCTAACCAGCCCCAGCCTCTGCTACAGGATGGGCCGTCATCAAACTGGACAGGTTGGGAGATCCTACTCTAGATGCCCATGAATGGGGAAGTCACACCTTTTTGCATTCCTGGCAGCGATGTGTTGTAATTAGGTGTGACAACACTAAACAGAGGTGATACTAATTCCATTCAATGTCATAGAGTTGTCTGTTTTTATGGCACTAATGGTACTGTTATCTATCACCCACAGTTTTTCTCAAGTGAACTGTATTTGCTTTTGGTTAAAGGGTAGTTTAATCTATTTGGTACTATCCAGAACATTGCTTCACGTCCTTGGTTTTGTTTTAGATGCACTGTCCACATGGTGGTAAAATCAACTTTTGCCTCCTACTTCCATCCTTTGAAAGGTGTCCTGCAGTAGATAACTTCTTTAGGGAAGGCTTATTCTTGCGGTTGGAACTTGGCCATAGCTGTAGACTGTTCCTTTGAGCATGACTGCAGATCGGAGTTGTGTGATGGGAGCAGGCTAAGAAATAGGGCCTGAAGCCCGAGCAGAAACCGAAGTTGCTCTCCGCACCACATGAGCAAGCGCACAGAGAGGAGGATGGAGTCCCTCTCCTCATGGAGAACTCTGCGGTGTGAGGCAACCCGGGTCCCAGGACAGCAACTCTGCAGTGCCTCTGCTGAAGCCTGGAGGTGTCCGGGCTTTCTTGATCAGCTCCCGACCTCACGACTTGGGAGAAGTGACCAGTAAGAAAGTGTCATTGCCATGCTTCCTGTTGGAGACTTAAGAATTACGGCAAACTCCCAACGCACTGGAACATGGGAGGCAGCAGCCTGGCCACACTATGTGCTACCCTCGTTTTCCTCCCCACACTCAGGACTGGCTTTGTGAGGAGGCACACTGCTGGGATTCCAGCAGGTTTCTGTTACACCCGACCACGTGTGCAAGTTTCTTTTCTCTGCATGCACTTCTCACAGGGGATAGCACTTAATTTCTATTTATTTTGGACTCATTTAAGGTATAAGCTTAGGATCCTAATATATTTATTTTTGGAAAGGGTCAAGTTACTGTACGTCTTATTTTTTTGAGCCTGCATTGTTGACTCCTTGTGCAGTGACCACCAAGGAACTATATACCCACATGCTAGATGTGGGTCCCATTATTTACATTGCATCAGTATTGAAAATTAAAGATGTGAATGTTCTGTGACCAGAGTCAGGGATGACACTGATGGTGGCATAAGAATCCCAAAAACTCTGGTCCCCTGACCCATTGCATTCTGGATTGAGTGTATTTTAGCAAAGAAAAACATTAAATGATTTTATAGAAAAAGAATGGCTTTCCTGTTTTCCTGTGTTCCTTCACCTTTGTGGCATCCTGGGGCACCACACGTCCTTGACTCCCTTGAAACCACGTCTTTCTAGCAAGGCAGTTGTACTCTGCTCTGCTCTTCCCTCATCTATCAGTGGAGTTATTTGTGTTTGCAATCATTTGCATTTGTAGATAGCACTAGTAGCATTACCAATGCCATAATTTCCATCAAATAACAGCCGCCACAGCATATCATAGTCGAGCCACAGATCAGACCTGCGCTTAGCATCAGAAAATCAGGTGTCATCCCATTTCCTTGCTGGCTTTGTTCCTCATGGCCCATATTTAGGAAAGTCTTGACTTAAAAATCTAATACATGGGGCTGGGAGGCAGGTATATACATACATAATTTACATGACCCCAACTGGTCATGATACCTTGCATTTCATTTGGAGAAAAAGGTGGCATGAGATTGCATTCACCAAATATTGATAACTTACTATGTCCAGGCAGGCTGAGCTTTTGGGATAGGGCCCATGGAACAGGTGAGACTCTGGAGTAGACATCCAGTAGGGAAGCTAGGCTTTAGACAATGCGCCCCAGTGAAGCTGAGATCCTGCAAATCCCTACCAAAGGGAAGGCATCCTGAGGGGAGTGGAAGCAATCTGATGGAGACTTGTAATGCAATCACAGGCCGGCGCCGCGGCTCATTAGGCTAATCCTCCGCCTTGCGGCGCCGGCACACCGGGTTCTAGTCCCGGTCGGGGCGCCGGATTCTGTCCCGGTTGCCCCTCTTCCAGGCCAGCTCTCTGCTGTGGCCCGGGAAGGCAGTGGAGGATGGCCCAGGTGCTTGGGCCCTGCACCCCATGGGAGACCAGGAGAAGCACCTGGCTCCTGCCATCGGATCAGTGTGGTACGCCAGCCGCAGCGGCCATTGAGGGGTGAACCAACGGCTAGGGAAGACCTTTCTATCTGTCTCTCTCTCTCTCTCACTGTCCACTCTGCCTGTCAAAAAAATAAATAAAAATAAAAATATAAAAAAAGAACCCTGTCTCACTCACCTGCCCCTCCCCTCTTTGCTAAGTACCTCTCAGCTATCTATCTATGAAGATATTAGGGTTTCAGCTCACACATCACATCTTCACAGAAGCTTTCCCCTTCACAGCAGCTTAGCCCAGACTAGGCCACATCGCCCTTTAAATTACTCACATTCATCTCTTTCTTAGTACTTGTCATATCTATAATATTATTTGAATGATGACATAATTTTGGATTTACTTGGGTGTTTATTTGATTATTGTCTGATTCCCTCAGTCTGGTTTTTCTGAGATGAGCCTTAAAGGGAGTGACATGCCATCTGTCATAGGATTCACTCTAGAAATGGAGCAAAATGATTTTATTACCATTAAGGTGGAGGTCTGTGATTCCTTGGCCAAAGGATACAGCAGAAATGACAATCAGGCCTGTAAACAGGCCCCAGTGTTAAGACACTGGCATCTTCCACTTCCTGTCCGTTTGAATGCTTCCACTTAAACCCAGCCACTATGCTATGAGAAAGCCCATGCATCCTATAGAGAAAAACCAAGACCTAGCTGTCGCTCCCCCTCTTCGTGGAGGAACAATACTAAGCCCTGCCTAGGCTTCCTATCCGAGTCACGGCACCATTATGTCGCTCCCCCTCTTCATGGAGGAACGACACAGGACCCTGCGCTGTTCTTTTCGTCTGCTCGGCCCTCCCCGGGTTTGCTGCTGGTTCTTCCCGGGTTGGCTACTATCCCTTCCACCTCCGTGGAAGGGCAGTTCCCCCTGGCCACATTCCCCACTTCCGCAGGGGAGCGGCACACCGCCGGCCGGCTTTCTCGGGGGCTGCACGGGTGTTCCTTCAGCTAGATGTTCCCCTTAGGTGTTCCCCATAGATGTTCCTGGTGCATGCCGTCTCTCTCCTCCTTTATAGTCCTCCTCTGCCAATCCCAACTCGGCTGCCCACACGCCGAGTACGCTGCTCTCCAATCAGGAGCAAGTCCTACAGTTTATTGGTTGAACTGGAGGCAGCTGTGCGGAAGCTGTTTACTTCTCTCCCAGTGCCATATTGTGGGAGAGCAGATGCATAGAATAAGTCTTAATTCCAGTAACTCAGTCCAGTCCGGATTGCTCCCCACACCTAGCTGAGCTCCCAGCTGATGGCACGAACTTGCCAGTCATGTTTGTGAGCCATATTGAAGTAGAGCTTCTAACCCTCTGTAGAATGCTCCCTGCAGATAATACACGGAGCAGAGACGAGCCAGCGCCACAGAATCCTGCCCAACATGCGGATTCATGAGCAAAGGGGTGGCACTGCGGTGCGGCAGCTTCAGCTACCACTTGTGACGCAAGCACCCCATATGAGGGCCAGTTCACGTCCCTGCTACTCCACTTCTGACCCAGCTCTCTGCTAATGCTCCTGGGAAGGCAGCAGAAGATGGCCCAAGTACTTGGGCCCCTGTCGCCTCTATGGGAGACTTGGGAGAAGCTACCGGCTCCTGGCTTTGGCCTGGCCAGCCCCAGTCATTGCAGTCATTTGGGAGAGTGAACCAGTGGATGGAAGGTCTCTCTCTCTCTCTCTCTCTCTCTGTATATGTAACTCTGTCTTTCAAATAAATTAATCTTTTTTTTTTAATTGTGGGTGGCTTGTTATACAACCAATAGATAACCACATCAACTAGGATGACACACTTGTGCAGGAAGACAGCCCTTCCTGGGCAGGACCACAGACCACTTTGTGATGTCATGTTATCCTAAGGTTCACTGAGGACATGTGGACATCATGAGTAGGAGTCTGTGGTGGGCCCCAATCAGAGAGACCTCCGTCATGTTGATGCTGGCATGCAGGTGCACATCTGGATCCAGGGATCGCTCTTGCTCCCAACCACTCATCTCCAAGGAACTAGTTCTGGAGCCTACTGGTCTCCAAGATTTTGTTTCAAACACATGAAGGGGGCCGGCGCCGCGGCTCACTAGGCTAATCCTCCGCCTAGCGGCGCCAGCACACCGGGTTCTAGTTCCGGTTGGGGCGCCGGATTCTGTCCCGGTTGCCCCTCTTCCAGGCCAGCTCTCTGCTGTGGCCAGGGAGTGCAGTGGAGGATGGCCCAGGTGCTTGGGCCCTGCACCCCATGGGAGACCAGGAAAAAGCACCTGGCTCCTGGCTCCTGCCATCAGATCAGCGCAGTGCGCCGGCCGCAGCGCGCCAGCCGCGGCGGCCATTGGAGGGTGAACCAACGGCAAAGGAAGACCTTTCTCTCTGTCTCTCTCTCTCTCACTGTCCACTCTGCCTGTCAAAAAAAAAAAAAAAAAAAAAAAAAAACCCCACGAAGGAGTGCCTGATCCCACCCAGGCTGGTTAACAGTGAATGGCAGGGCTGGCACTGTGACAGAGTAGGCTAAGCTTCCCTCTGCAGCACCAGCATCCCCTGTGAGTGCCAGTTCCTGTACTGGCTGCTCCTCTGGTGATCCAGCTCCCTGCTACAGCCTGAGAAAGCAATAGAAGATTACTCAAGTCCTTGGGCCCCCCGCACCCATGTGGGAGACCCAGAAGAAGCTCCTGGGCTTCGAATCAGCCCAGCTCCCACTGTTGGCAGCCATTTGGGGAGTGAACTAGCAGATGGAAGACCTCTCTCTCTGCCTCTGCCTCTCCCTCTATCTGTAACTCTGCCTCTCAAATAAACAAAATTAAAGAGAGAGAGAGAGAGAGAGAGAGAGAGAGAGAGAGAGAATTAGCGAATGGCAAGCGACAGCCATCAGTACCTCCTGAAAGACCCTGGGGAAGGAACACAGCTCATTGAGAGGGCTCGGGGATCACTGCTCCAGAGGAATGTGTGGCTTTGTCCAGGCTGATTCAACATTCACGCCTGGCAGACGAGAGGGCTCCGTGCAAGGCATGCCATCTACACGGCACCCTCGTGGCCTGTAACCGCACCAATACCTCTTCTCTTTTCAAGTCCGTGAACAAAAGCAAATTACTGAGCCTGGGACTGAAAAAAACGTCTGTGCAAACAGAAAAACAACGCTTGCTTGTGAATTCCAGAAACCGGCCTTGGGAAAGCCAGCTTAAGTTGCAAAAGTAACCTGGCCCTCCATGGCCAGCGTGCCCGGAGGTTTCAGTTCATTGCAAAAGGGGACGACACAGTACTTTCCCTTTTTCCGATCCCAGCCAAATAACATTTTGCAGCTGCTTAGTGTGCCGAATATCCTACTGTTTTCTCCCCAAGATGAAGTCCAGCTGTCAAGCCGCTTCCCGAGGAATACCATTGGCATCCGAAACAGGGTTTTCAGACCCACAACCAGCTTGAGGAACTGACTCAGTAGCCCAGCCCCCTTTACCGCCTCCTTAAAACCCCCTCACTGAGGACCATAGTTCCTGCGAGTGCTAATCTGAGACCCCCTCATCAATCCATCAACAGATGAAACTCTTTTACCTTCAAACCCTATCCTTTTTATTTTAGTAGCCACTAGTCCCAGGTGGCCATTTAAAAGTAAATTGGAAATAATCACTTTTTTAAAAAGTGTAAAAAGCAATTTCTCAGTCACATGAGTCACATTTCAAGCCTGGAATAGCCACATGTGGCTTAGTGGATGCCATGTTGGACAGGGCAGCTGTGGGACATTTCTAGTACTGCATATTCTATTGAACTGAGCTGTCTCAGGTTCTTTGAGAGAGGTCAACAGGATGCCCTTGCCGCCAAGGACCTGAGATTAAAAGCAGCAACAGAAAATCCAGAACAAGGGCTGCCACTGAGACATCCGCAGGGATGGTCACATTCGCCAGGCCACACATCCAGCCCAAAAATCCCCCACAGAACTTTAGAGAGTAGCCTGGGCAGCTTACCTCAACTTTCAGCTTCGCTTCCTGGTCACTGATGACATTTCTTTTCCCCAAATTTCATTTAATAGTCATTTCCTGCTTGGTAGTACCAAATTTATCATTTTATCCATTATGCTCAACAAAAATTGCAGCACAGTATCATGGTTAAGAACATGGACTCCGGTTCA